ATAGCAATAATCTATATTCATATATAATGTATAATAATTGAAATGTGACTATATTTTACAAAATACTAGTCAACACAGCCAAGACAAGTTACTTGTACAGAACAAAGGTCATATTTATGTTATGTGATACAGTCACATGAGTGCACGCGAGCCTCATCGTTCTAATTTCTGTATTGTTAGCCAGGCATGGGTGAAAGGTCAATATTTAAGCTATTTCATAAAACATTTATGTTTTTGTGTTATAAGTTGTGTTCATTCTAGAATAAAAGATACATAATTTATATTTATTTCCTAATTTTTACAGTGGTTGCAAGATCTTTCAAATTTACCGAACCCGTACAGAGATTAATTACAGAAAATAACAGATAAAATATAAAGTTTTTTCTTAAAAAATGTTTGATAACTATCTTGACACTATAAAAATTTCACATGTGAAATTTCAAAATTTTCTGATGCATAAAAGTATTTCTAATCTTATAATTAATATTACTTTGCATGATAGATAGGCAACATGCAAAAAGAAAAAAATAGACATGAGAAAACCATTGCTTTACAAACCTTACGACTTAATAAAAAAATTGATATTTTGCGTATGAAAGCATTGTAATGTTTACTGATAAACTGCCAAATTACGTTAACATTTGCTTACTAATTTAAATGTAAAAGTAATTTAAAACAAAATTGTTACAAGGTCAGTCCTAGAGACCGTGCCCGGGTTGAAAGAGTTAATGAAATACAAACAAAATATAGAAATGATTATAAAACCATTCAGTTGAGAGTAGGGCAGTGGTGTTCTGTTGATATAGATGACATGATATCCTCCAATATGAAACAAAAATAAATGGGAGTGAGACATCAAAATTACAGTTCATCCTTCGATTGGGAACCCTTATCCTACCCCCCATGTGGATGTTGGTTCCCAGTGGCTGGGATTTAGATTTAGAGTTGAACCAGTCAACATAAGTCCTCATACATGTATTACAGATGTCTATATTCCTTCCTCATTTATACTCTTGTTACTCCATCAGTGTTGTGGGTCACAGTAGAAGTACTTGCAGATTATTACGGTTCTTCTCCTTCTACTTATCATTCTGAGGATGTTACTGTGCTTGGGATGGTTCCAGTCAATTTCAAGCTTGAAGGAGATGGTTTGCATTAAATAGACATCTTTTCGATATCAGGTTCCTGGATTGATCTATCAAATTCTTATATTAACATGTGCCCTGTTCATGGGTCAGGGGTTCTGGATTCCCTCCGGTCTTATAAGCTTGAGGAAGACAGTATGATCCTCTTTCCTATCCCCACCAGATGGCTGGGTTTTGGATTGTAGTTGACTTGCCACCTGTATCCTACCCCGAAATGGATGTCGTTTCACAATGGCCTGGGTTTTGTATTGTAGTTGACTTGGTGGTGGTAATATAATCCTCATCCAACCACCTTGTGGATGTCGGTTCCCAGCGGTATGGGTTTTGAATGTAGTTGACTTGCCATGTACCTAGGACATATCCTTTTCATTTCACCCACTTTTATATTTTCTGGGATAAATTTTCATAAATATTGTATGGTTTGGATCACTATCTGACCTTAGATCTCTCCCATTTGGATGTGCTTCTCTGTTTTTCTGCCCATATGTGCGACATCTTTCCAAGATGGGTGAAGATTATACCTGATTCAGAAGTGGTGCAGTCTTCCACATTCCGAAGATTCTTTGATTCCGAAGATCTCCTCTTGGGAAGTGTCCTTTGGATGCTTTCAAAGGATGCTTCTTTCTCTTCCTTGCACTGGTCCCTCCACTGAAAATTTGTGCTTCCATTTTCTGCCAAAACTCGAAGTGATAATGAGGTAGAATTGAATAGAGGGAGTTACATGCGTCATGAGAGTAAGTCACACTATTATTGGTGGAAGGTTGTTGCAGGATGATTTGCATGAGATATGCATTGGAATCAGTCAATTCCAATTTAGAGGAGATAAAAGGCTTGTGGCATGCATAAAATTTTTGTGCATGTAGAGGGCAGCACTGAACAAGAATAACTATTTATATGAGTGGAGGTAAGTACCTGTTGGAAATAATTTTCAGTATAGGAAAATTATAATGCAAGTTCTGGAAGAGATCACTCTGGCAGTAAAGTAATATTAAAGAATAGATCACTTTAACAGTACCTAAACTAATGAGCAAGCTTTGTAACTGTCACCATGATGGGAAAGTAATGAGGAAGTTCTGGAACAACTCACCATGACAGAAAGGTTATAAGAAAACTTTGAAACAACTACCCTTGACAGTAAGGTAATAAGCAAACTCTGGAACAGAACTCTTTGGTAAGGAAAGAATAAGCAAACTTTGGAACAGCTTATTTTGACAGATATATTTGATAAATATATATATATATATATAATAGTTTTGAAAAAAGAAACCAGTATTATGTACATTGTTTTTATGTCAACTTATTAAAGATCCAAATGCTAATTGAAATGATATTTAACAATTAAAAATAAAACCATCTTCATTAACTTTTTTTGTGTGTAAACTTAAAAGAGAAACAAATATTAACTGAAGTGAAACATGAATAATAATAATTTATTCTTTGATTTAATATTTTAATAATCTACAGATTGTGATATGGGATCTGGAAAGTATGAAGTCAAAGTATGTGTTACCAACACTTGGAGGATTTGCATACACAGTTGTAGCAAACCCTCTGGATCCAGGTAAGGAAAAAAATAATGGGATTGAAATTAAATTTGATAAAGAATTATATCTATAGATAAAATTTAATATTTTTTTTATATGAAGTGTATTAAATATGATTTTATTTTCTGAAGTAATAATATTTTGTTTACACTATGAGAATAGCAGCTAGCTTGTTTGAAATGAATGTATTTTTTTTCTATTAGTTTTTAAATATCTTGGTAACAGGAATGGATTTAACTTTCATTTCTAATAGTTTAATTTTCATTGATTCTAATAACAAACTTGTATTTATTTTTTCTATAGACCATGTAAGTAAACAATTATTTTTCTTTCACTGTTAAGTATCACCATTTAAGTCTAACAACTTCAGAGAAGTAAATTGGTTTGATCTTTTATAGCTGATAGTGAAAGAACAAAAAGTAGTCTGCACAAAAAGTTTGTAAAAATAGTAATTCATCTTGGTTTTAGCATTTGAAAATTATCAGTTTGGATTTGAAGTTTGTGCTATCATTACTACAAGTAAAATGTTACTTATTATTTTCATTCTGAACACTGTATGATGTATAGCTGGACTTTCAGCAGGTGAACACAGATTAGTTAAAATAGGCAACTTTGTTTTGCTGTAGGTCATTTAGTAGCAGGTATGGGAACATTATGGAGATTTATTTTGGCTGTAAGTCATCTAGCAGTGGTATGTCAACAGTATGGTGATTGTTACTGCTGTGGGTTATCTAGCAGTGGGTATGGGGACAGTACTGTGAATTTTTTTTATGTGGGTTATCTAGCAGTGTGTATGGGAACATTATGGTAATTTTTTCTGCTGTGGGTTATCTAGCATTGGGTATGGGGACAGTACGGTGATTTTTTTTATGCTGTATGTGATCTGGCAATGGGTATGGGAACAATATGGCGATTTGTTTATGTTGTAGGTCAGGAGTTCCCAAACTTTGCCAACTGATGGACCCCCTTCAACTTCTTAACCAAATATTGGGATGGTATGGTGATTTATTTTGTTTGTAATCAGTGGGTATGGGAACAGTATGGTGATTTATTTTGGCTGTAAGTCATGTAGCAGCAGTTATGAGGACAGTATAGTGATTTGTTTTAGTTGTAGGTCATCTAGAAGTGGGTATGGTGTTAGCACAGTGATTTATTTTTGGTGTAGATCATAGCAGTATGTATAGGGACAATATGCTGATTTATTTTTGCTGTAGGTCATCTAGCAGTAGGTATGGGTAGAGTATGGTGATTTGTTTTTGCTGTATATCATCTAGCATTAGGTACTGTAGGTCATCTAGCAACAGGTATGGGGAGAGTATGGTGATTTGTTTTTGCTGTAGGTCATCTAGCAACAGGTATGGGGAGAGTATGGTGATTTGTTTTTGCTGTAGGTCATCTAGCAACAGGTATGGGGAGAGTATGGTGATTTGTTTTGCTGTATGGTATGTAGCAGTGAATATGTGGAACAGATATAGTAATTGTTTTTTAAGGTCGTCTAGCAGTGGGTGCAGGAGACAACATGGTAAGAGTCTGGACCCTAACAGGTGTTAATCCGTATCATACTGTTTCATTGTGGCAGAAAATACAAGGAAAGGTTAAAACAGTGAGTGTTTTTGTTGTTATAAACATGCATTTAATAAAGATAAACTAATGTTAACATGTTATGTTTTACAGTGTAGTATACTTATAGGAGAGAAAATGACAAGTTTTTCCCCTTTGTTAATGTGGTTTTTGTAAAAAATATATATATATATAATTGTTAAAGATATCTTTAAAATATGATTAAGACATCTTATAGTTGTAAATTAATCCCCAAAATTGTTTTTCAAAGATTGTTTTTTTATTATTAGTAGTGTCCTTGTTGTTGTTTTTTTATTATTGCGAAAGTGAATTCAAACTGAGCATGGATAAAAATCATTCATGCATAATTGATTTATACTGCTTTGTGGTTGAGAGGCAATTGTAGGCAATGCCCAAGTGTACTGGAGAATTTCATGGGAAAACATGAATGAATGAATATATAAGTCAATTTTATTAGTATAGAAACATTTCAAAATGTGTAATTATAAAACTTTAGATTTCAGTTAATAATATAAGCTTGGATGAAGCTATGATAATGTATAATATTTTAAACTATCAAATTTATGGCCACTATATAATAGTACCACATTTCTTTCCCCAACATTCAAACCTAAAAATGTTCTTTCCTGACTGGCATATATAATCATCATCCTTTTTTCTTTAGTTGTCTATGATTGAATATTAATCTTTAAGATATTGCTGAACTCAGCATTGTCAAACTTTATGTCACATACCAGTTGTAATTTGAGTAGACTTTTCACTCATAGGTGATACTACAAGCCTAAATTTTATAAAATTATTGTATTTCATTACTGTGTTTGTGTAATATTTAATTTCTGTTGTTTTAAATCGTTTTGTTACATAAGAATATTTAATGTATGCCTGATACCAAACTCTAAAAGCACAAAGTAGATTCTTTCATGTTAATAATTTTTTTTCATTATATACTTCATGACAGGCAGCACTTTGCAACTAATTAATTTTTAATATATTTACAAGATATATAAGTTCTGTGAATGCACATGTGACAACTGGAAAGGGTTAAATCCTCATTACTGTTTGCAATTGATGCTGTAATGAAATTAAGGTGAGCTTTGTTTTTGATTTGTTTTTAGATATCTTGGCATCCAGAACGAGAAGCTTGGTTGGCTTATGGAACTGACGATGGACATGTTGGGGTTCTTGATACTTTAAGTAGCAACAGGTGCATGCTTGCTTTGATGAACATTTTTGAATATGTATAAAACATCAAAATGAGTACATGTGCAGTTATTATGTCATAACATTTCTTTTTAATTGTGAGGAATGTATTTTTATTTTGTCAGAGTAAGCTGATGTGTATACCAAAAATAACATTCACTTTTACAAGACTACATGCTTATGCCTAAAACAGCTTTTTATTAGCAACACTTCATGATATAATCTATGTATACCTTAGACAGCTTTCCATTAGTAAGACTACATGTTATGATCTGTGTATTCCTATAGTAGATTTCCACCAGTAAGACACGCTATGATATTTGTAATCGTTAAACAGTTTTCCATTTGTAAGACTACATCTTATTATCTATATTATCTATAAATAAAGAAGTGATGTATCTAGATAGTGTAAAAAATTTAAATATTTCATGAAAAACACATTTATTTTTTTATACTTAATTAACAGTACTTGCAGTATACAGTTTTTATTTATTTAAAATGTTAGGTGACCAGGTGGTTAGGGCGCTCGACTCGCAATCTGCGGGTTTGAATCCCCGTCCCACCAAACATGCTCGCCCTTTCAGCCGTGGGGGCATTATAAGTGATGGTCAATCCCACTATTTGTTGTTAAAAGAGTAGCCCAAAAGTTGGCAGTGGGTGGTGATGACTAGCTGCCTTCCCTCTAGTCTTACACTGCTAAGTTAGAGACGGCTAGTGCAGATAGCCCTCGTGTAGCTTTACGTGAAATTCAAAAGAAACAAATATTTAAAATGTTAGCCAAAAATATTGTGACTGTTAATACTAGCTTAGTAACCATATACTATCTGTGAATTTTATATTGAGAGTTATGTTACAGTTTAAATATTGAAAATCATCAAAACATTGGAACATCAATAGATCTAAGAATTGTTAAAAAACAGTTTAAGTGTATATGATTTTTTCCACATTCCTCTTAACTTGTCAATTGCAGCTCAAAATCAGAGATGTGTAATAAATAGTATTTTGATCTCTCTTTTTTTTTTGTCCTACAGCAATCGAGCTGGATGATGTGAGACAAAAGATTCTATGAAACACTATTTATGTATGTAGCATAATACTTTAAATGTTATGATTTAAAAACCAAAGTCAATGAAATATTGGAAAATCAATAAGCCTAAGAATGTTTATAAAAGCAAGTTAACTCATTACTTTTAAAGTATTATACTATATATATATATATATATATATATATAAATAGCATTTCATATAATATTTTGTCTTTCATTGTCAGCCAAACTGATGAGTTCTGATATTGAAGGAAAAGTTTTTTAGATAGTGACTTGTGGGAGACAAAAAGGTAGATTTGAAATGCTGTTTATTACACATTTCTGATTTTGAGTCATACTGGACAAATTGAGAGGAATGTGGAAAAAACATCTCAAATTAACTTATTTTTATAATAGTTGAGTATAATGCAGTAAGAAAGTTGTTTTTCCACCCAGATCTCAAGTATTGACATCTCCTTGTCACAGGCAGATTGTGTACAATGTTTGTTGGGGACCATGTTTCAGTAAGTACAGAGTGTAGGTCATCTTGTTGTCATTCTATCTGATTACAGTCAAATAAAACTAAAACTATTTGTAATGAGTAGTAAACTGTAATGAGCTTTGAAGATGATGATGTATCAAAACATTGTACTTGGTTGTGATACTTGAACTTTCTTTTATACCCTGAAATGCATGATTAGATTTTAATATTAGGTATTTTATAAACATTGAATTACAATCTTTTTAAAAATTATGTTTAGTTCAATACAACCAAAATTTAGCTTCTGGTAGAAGTAGTTTTACATTTTGTACAACTTCATTTTAGCACGTATTATTTTTAATATGTCATGATTGCTTTTTAGTTTTTATTGTATATTTGAATCTTTGTAGCAAAACTTAAATTTTTATTTTTGTGTTTCAAACACCCATAAGGAGCTAAAGATGTACTGTGCTAAACTTACAAATTTTTCCAGTTATATTTGTTAAAAATTTCTGTGAATCACAAACATCACAAACAACTTGCACTTGAGAAATAAATTTATACTACCTGAAGGCTTCTATGCCTTTTGGCTTAATTTTATGTTTCTAAAAAACTTTATGAAATTATCAATAAAGCATTTTATTTCTGTCATTAGTGCTAAACAAAGGTGACCAAAATGGAAGACCCAATCTGTTTTTGTATTCTTGTGGTGATGGTGTGATCCTGATTCATAATGTTGATAAACCAAAAGAAGAAAAACATAATTTTAACACATTAACAGCAAACAGTGGCAATTTGGAAAGAGGAAAGGGTCCAGTCAGAACAGAACTTGCATGGAAAGCAGATTATTCTGTACTAGCTGTTGGAAATGAAGATGGGTTGGTTCAAAAAATTAAAATATTGTTTATAAAGAATACAGTTTCACAGTAGAAATATAAGCAGTTCATATCTTCAGTTTTTATAAAACATCAGTTTTGATTTAAGCTAACTTGTTTTCAGTTTTTTAATCTAATAAAGTTTTTTTTCAGTTTTTTAATTTAACGTAAATTCTGGTATTTTTTATTTCTTATGCATCAATTTTTTGATTAAATAAAAGCAATTTGTGAGAATTGAGATAAATATGTAGTAAGAAAAAAATAGCTTGACAACACTTGATAATATAAAGAGGATATGCATAAATATATGTAGTTTCCATCTCCCATCAGTTGGATAAGTAATGATAGCAAGACTCAAGAATTTAATTTCATTTAGATTAACATTTTAACTCAACATGGGCTTGGTCAATTTGACCAACCATGTGACCTCTTTCTACTCATTTAAAATCTTAATAGTTTTGATACTATTAACTTTTAATATAGTATGTACATCTTCACAAAATTTGTCAGATTTTTGATAAACATTATAAGTCTTTCACATACAAAAGATCATATTTATAGTAAAGTATTTTTAATAAACTAAAAAAGGATTTATCCATAAATATATCAAGTATTTTTTTTACTAGTTTGCATGCAAAATGATTTTCATGTTAAGATTAAAAATACTTTTCTTCATCTCAGAAATTTCAAATTTCATTTGTATAATCTCTGAAACTTCCTAAATACATTTCAAATGTTTGTTTTCAGTAAAACTTTATATTTTATCTGTTATTTTCACTACCCTAACTCTATACAAGGTTGGTCAATTTGACCGATTTCATAACCACAAAAAAAAATCAAAATAAATCCAAATTACCCTTTTTCCAAAACCTAATTACCTCTGCTGACACTTATAACTATTACTTGACCTCCAGGATTTCTTCCTTTGCCCTTCTAAGCATTGGTCTGATTTTTTCTCGCTTGCTCCAGTTATTTATACCCTACTCATATGTCCTTGGCAATATTTGTCTTGTGATACTTTCCACCTATGTTAAAAGCCCTCTATCCTGATACTGTATGAAAGCACCTAATTCAGACAATGTTTTCCCTTTTTCTCTACAAAGCATTTAGACATTGGTTTTTCTAATAAAGTGCTGCAATAGTTAATGTCCTTGGATGCGATTTTTGCATCGCCTAGTTGATTTCCATGCACTAATATTTTAAAAACATTAGAAGAAAAAAAATCCCTTTGTTTCGACATGCCATTTTCAGGCATGAATTCCCAGGTTACTGTTTCCAGCATGGAGGCTAATCAGACCTCCCCTATTCCACCTCTGTTATCTAGCTGCTTTTGCTGATGATGCAGGACATTCTGGGGAGAACTTAGACTTGCTTTTTCCTGTGCCTTTGTTTACTAGTTCGGCTTCTCATGAGGCCACTTGGGATCAGCCACCTCCTGCTCCCTTTTTTGAGTTAGTCAATTGGTTTTGTGAGGTTCTGAGGCTTTCCCAGGTTGCTGTTGAGTGTACTCGCTCCTTAATGGCGGAAAGGTCTGAGGGCAAATACTTGCTTTTCCTCTTTCACTTGATATTGCTGCTCATGTGGGGAGGTTTACTGCTCAGTTACGTGAAGGAATAGCTATGCCTTGTCCCTCATATTTGTTGGAACAGCATGCTTTGGCTTACCACTTCCAGGAAGATGTGTATTTAGATTCCCAAAGACTTGATCCACTTTTGGAAATGTGAGGTTCCAGAATGGAGCCTGTGATCACTTTGAACAGATCACAATGTTCTTGGATTCGTCCGACCTTCATTACAGTTCTGAGATATTTATCTTCCCTCCAAGTTTTGAGGGAAGCCTCTCAGCAATCCTCACAACAATTTGATGACAAATTGGTCCTTTGCTGACTTCTACCTTGGTAAGATTGTGAGCTTGTGTTCTTCCTTTGTTTTCCTGACTTGTATGTTGTTGGGACTTATTGGGTAGAGATGCCTTTTTGGAGAGTGTTCGTCTACCTGCTGCCACCCTCTATGAGTTACGTGAGTGTCCTTTTCTTTGTCCCTTGATGTTTGCAGGTGTTCCAGAGGCATTAGAATCACAGATTGATGTCTCGTGTTTGCATTCTTCCTTGTCGTCATTGGCCTTTCAACTTTTTTGGCTCCTACTGGAAGTCATGGTGCTACTGCTCATCATGTGTCTTGACCCCCCAGCTTCAGCTTGTCAATCTGTTGGTACCCAGATAGATTCCATCCTTATCCAAGAGGCTCCTCTGCTTGGGCAGACCATTGCCAGCAGCATCGGTGACTACCCTATGCTGGTGAGGTCTGTGGGAGCATGGTTACAACATATTCTGGACATCTGTAATTCCTTCACCAATGATCTATGGGTACTCCAGGTTCTGGGGTTGGTCATTCATGTCACATTTTCACCTCCATTATCCTCTCAACCTGTGGTATTTCCATCCCCAATACGTCCATGGAGTGTGGATCTTTGTTCCAGGGCTATCAGACAGCTGTTGGTCAAGGGGATGGTAGAGAGAGAGTCGATCCTGTTCTTCTGTGATTTTATTCCCATTTATTAGTTGTACCCAAGCACACAAGAAATTAGTGTCCGATCATTGATCTTTCTCGTATCAACCAATTCTTAGATCCTCCCAGATTTGCATTTTTCACCAGGTCTGTGGATGACCAAGTTTGATGTTGTCGATGCATATTTCCATAGTGAAGTCATGCTGCTACTATCTACGTTTCATGAACAATGGTCAGATTCTGTAGTTCAGGGCTCTGCCCTTTGGCCTAGCATCTGCACCATATGTCTTCTGCAGAGTTGTATGTGCTTTTTCTCATCACCTTCATTCTTTGGGTTTGTGTACACACTTTTATATGGATGACTGGTTACTTCTGGCACCATCTCGTCAGTTGGCAGAATGGCACACCCAGATTATTCTTTCAGAAGCCACCAAGGCTGGTTTTCTTATTAGAGCTGAGAAATACATTCTCTTGCTGACTCAATACATTGTCCATCTGGGTGTCTTTTTCAACACATATTTAAGTTAGACTCAGCCAACTCCCATCCAGCCCCATGCTATGGAACAGGCAATCAAGCTCTTATGTACGTCTCCTTCTCCTACTGTGTGGATGGTTCTCTCTTTTTTGGAGATGTGGGTATCCCTCGAATTTCTAATTCCTTTCAGTAGTCGCTGCGTGACCAGTGGATCATTGACTATGATTCACTGGATCATCCATTCTCCTTATTCAGGAGCAACATTTTTGATCTCGAGTGGTGGTTTGGATTGGAAGAACACTACAATAGGTGTTCTCTTGTCCCAAGATTCATCTCTTCACAGATACCTCACTTCAGGGATGGGGTGCATATATCAACAGTCAGGAATTCCAGGGTCTATAGATGAACAACGAATCTTCCTTCCACATCATTATTTTAGAACTTTTTCCTGTCCAATGGCTCAAGTTCTAGCTCTATTGAAGGGAAAAATCATCATGATTCATTCTTACAACTCCATCTTACATTTCCTGTCAAGGGAGCAAGCATTCTTAGCACCTTTGTTTTTAAACTTTGGATATTCTCTACTGGGCTCACTCCCACCATATCAGCCTCCTAGCTTACTATGTTCCTGGAGTGATGAATTTAATAGCAGTTCATCTGTCTCAGCCCAACCGAATGAATGCTACATCATAAGGTTTTCCGGTGGATTTGCTGTCAGTTCTGGACTCTGATAATCAATGCTTTCACCATTCATTACAACTCTCCACTACAGCTGTTTTGGTCCCCAGTACCTCATCCTCATGTTTTGGCGATAGATGCATTCAGTCAAGACTGGATGGGATTGCACTTCTATGCCTTCCCCCCCGATTTGTCTGTTATCCAGAGTTCTGCCTATGGTTTGATCCACTTCTTGTTGAGTGCTGTTAGTTTTCTCGTCTTCAGTGTCTTCAAGAGTGTCCACCTCTGCCACTTCCTCTTTGGCCATATCTGTTGAGGCAACCTAGATCCCACATTCTACACCCAGACATTTATGCGATCCTTCGCTTGGCATTGGGGTTTAACTTCTAAAGTTGCCTTGTATTTGTCTCAATCTGTCCATAGACCCACAATGGCCATTTATCAATGGAAATGGCACACTTATTGCTAATGGTGTCTCACGAGGAAATTGAACCCACAAAAGTCTAGATCCATCTCCTATCACCTTATATAAGGCAGCTTTTCGCTATTCTAAACATCGGAAGTTATTTGCATCCCCAGTGCTATCCAGCCTTCTCAAATCATTTTGCATGCTTTGTCCCAAAAGGCCTTTTCAGTTATCTAACTGGGATATTAAGGAGGTATTATATGCTTTGTCTCAACATCCATTCGAGCCTTTAGTCTCATGTACTCTGTACCACCTTTCCCTTAAAGTGTATTTTTTGTTGCTGCTGGCCTGTGGACATCGTGTGTCAGAGTTGTGTGCACTGCATGTACACAGAACTATCTATCACTCTACTTATGTCCTACTATACCCAGACAGCTCCTTCCTTCCTAAGACTGGCAGCCATGGAAGGGGATAAATCCTTCTCCCCATTTCATTTGCTAGCTATTTCTTACCTCTACGGCCACTTGCACCTCAGTCATTTTTTATGTCCCATCAGAGCCTTGAGGTGTTACGTGAATCGCACTAACTCTTTTTGAGGTGCTAGAAATTGACTTTTTATTTGTTGGGATCCTTCAGTTTCCCACAATTTATCCCAGATTACCTCGAAGAGGTGGGTTTGCAAATTAATCCATATTGTTTATTCTGCACTATCTTTACACGCGAGGAAACTTTTGCGAGTCACATCTCATCAGATTCGTCACATTCTTTTGTGGCTGCCCGATTGAATTGCCAGTTGGAGGACATCATGCAGGCTGTTATGTGGACCTCTCCCAATATTTTCTCTCACATTATTTACACAATCCGGCAGTTTCCTCTTCTGAAGGTTTTTGCTTACCCTCTGTGGCCATTTGGCCACATCTGCTAGATTATAAGGAGGGATGAGTATTTTTTTACTCCTCTTGTCTCTCTACTTTCTAGGGTCCCTTACCTCTTTTTTTTTTCAGTGGATCCCACTCTGTGGCAGGTGTTGCCCAGGCAGATTTGTTTTTATGAATCTAATTCCACACTAGCAACTACTATTTCATACCACTGGTTGCAACAGGCTTTATAGAAATGAGGAGCTCACCAGGTGGTATTACCATACTATGCTGGACCGCCACTCAAGGACTCTCATGAGTAAAGCTAAAGGGGATCCTTCCTATCCCTGCTGATTATTGGATTGAATAAATTGGGGTCGGTTTGCTTTTAAAAATTTAGAGAACTTGGTCACCTATTGCAGTGTTTCTCAGGGCTCCCCAGTGCGCATTAACCCTCAGATTCTACTAGTGGAGTTTGGGAGTCCTTACCATACCCACTTTCTGGTAACTGGGGTGGTGAACAGAGGCTTTTCCTCTATAGTGTAAGAGTGAATTCCTCCACTGTCAGAGAAGATGGTGAAGTTGGGGGCCCCCTGGGGTCCCTGCATGTTTTTTCCCAGATGTCGGTAGGAGCGGCACCAGCCTACACGAGTGCCTACTCGTAATACCAGTTCAGATTTGATGCTCAGCTATCTGGTTGGAGTGTACATGGCCTTTCTTTTTGTTCAGTATCAGTTCAGTACACTGTTCATGGAAGGGGGTCCGCTATCTCATAATTCCAAATGCAGAGCAGTCCAATCTGGGTCCTTGGTTGAGCACAGTTGTTCTACATCCTTTCCATAATTCTGGTGGCAAGTTGAAAGCTTCTTGCCCACTTGGTTGGGGAGTGAGGATGAATGTTCGTAATTTCAGACCAGATGAAGTCTGTTCCTTTGGTTGAGTAAGGAATACACGATCCCATCATTCCAAGTCTAGGTTGTTACCTTTCTGGCTTCTTTAGGTGGAGAAGAAGGTTTGTCCATTTCAGTGCAGCTTACTTTCTCATCGTGATTCCGATGTTTCAGAATGCATTACTCTATGGCTACAGGTTGGGATCCAATCAAAATTATATATGTATATAACATTGCAGTCCAGTTGCCCAAGCCACCAATATGGGATATAGGGACCAATACTCCTTAATTCCAACCCAAAGTAGTGGAACCTCGGCTATCTGGTTGGGGCTGGCCTATAGGTATGATCACTCATTTACAATTCCACCCTTGATACAGGAACCAAGTTCAGGGTGAAGAGCATACTTGTTCTGGATGTAGGGTGGTTCCCCCACTAGAGTACCAATCTTCTCTTTGCACACCTATGATCGATGTAGAGACTTTCTGTATGGATAATGCCCTCACCAGCCCCTCCACCTTCTCAATGTGGGATTGTAGCTACAAGTGTCAGTGGAGATACGTATGTTTTGGAAATTAACATTTTCCTTAATTGAAAATGTATTTCCAATAATACTTACCTTCGCTAACACTCTCCTGCTCTTTCTCCCCACTAAGTGCCAGTGTTAGAGACTGGGATCCATTGGAGTCAGTCTCGAAAAAGTGATAACATTATCTGAATGAGGCACTTATATACAATACCAGGATAGAGGGTGCATTGATGTAGGTGTAGAATATCATGAGACAAATATCGCAAAGGACAATTAAGTGGGGTATAAAAGACTGGAGCAAGCAAGAAAAATCAGACCAATAATTAGATGGGCAAAGGAAGAAACCCTGGAGATTGAGTAATAACTATAAGTGTCAGCAAAGGTAAGTATTATTGGAAATACATTTTCAATTTTCTAGACTTCAAATTGTAACATGAAACTACATTCATTTATCCTAACTAGCTTTAAACTCGTAACAGTATACATCTACATCTACTTATACTTAGATTTTATTGTTTTAATGACCTTTGAACCATGTCTAAGTACTACTATTCATGCCATTATAAGTTATAAATCACTTGGGGAACATGGAGCTCACATTACACTATCGAATTATGTTACCCACTAACTATTCCGAGCTGCTCATGTTTGTGCCTCGTGAAACATTTTTCTTATTATTACTTATTTCACCTAATATAACTTTAATTAATCTAAAGAGATCCCTATTTTTACATTTTCTGTTGGTTATACGTAATATAGTATTAAGAGTAAGAGAGAACTATTAACAAGTCCTGAAAGAGAGGATGTGACAGGTGAGTGTGGCAAGAGGGGCCTGATTTTCTATTTCATGGCTCTGAAACCAAACAAGATTGAAGGCTATAAAAATTATGGTTTGTCTGAGCAATGACGATTTTATAGCGAGTATTTTACATTAAATTTTCTACTTATTGAAGGAGTGGTGAATAAAATAGAGAAGAGGGGATCTATAGAGAAGATGTCACATTCTCACACTAGGAGAAATTCAGGATTTTTTTAATATCGCCTTATAAACTTAAGAACTTAAAACTTGTATACTACTAAAATATGGATTATTAGCTACGATTTTATACTGTACTAATTGATATAACATAAACAAAAAGTAGTTTAATTAAATTTTCAGTGTAAGTCACTAAAACCTCGTGACGTGCATTAAAGGATGTCCGTGGTGATAGGGTTAAGATGGAATTTTAATTTGTTTCACCTAAAAATTCTTGTTTCGTCAATAAATGAAATGTGATAAACATATTCTTCTGCCTTTCACTAACAAATCTTGATTGAAAAAAGTGCAAAAAATAAATATAATACTGTTATACAGTTAAATGTATCATTTGAAAAAGGTTAATGTGTTCAGACCAGAATTTTTCACCCACTCTTTTTCTTCTATCAGTATCATTTACTTGTGTAGTGCTGAAATCATTATACATTCAGATACCAATAAAATTACATTATGATGGTTATTTGTAAAAAGTATCATTGTCTGAAGAGCACAATTCAGTTGTATAGCTTCTCAAACAAAACTATTTTTAGACAACCTCTGTGGAGCTATGTTTTTAACCTGCAGTGATCAGAAAGACTAGCTTTTTTTGTAATTTAACTGATACATAATTCGAAACAGTAAATGAATTTGTTGATATTTTAATTTACAAGATTAAGTTTAACCCTTGGAAAACCAGTAATAATTGTGTGATATATACATCATGTGGTCCTGTAATTCTCAAAGATGTGTTCCTCATTTTGTTGTAAATACTGTTAATCCATGAAGTGTGAAGTGGTAATATTTTATTTGTAAACTAATCAGAAGTCTGAAGTTGGGGTATACTATATTTGCAATTTAAATTCTTAAGCTAATTAATTAGTGAGTTATTTTAAAGGATATTAATTTCATTGCTAGTTTAATATTGTATTGCACAAAACAAAAGGAGTAGCTTCATGGTAAATTGTTATTGTAATGATACATTATTTAAGATTAGCAGTTCTCGGTGGAAGTTTTAAGTTCTTCATTTAGTTATATCACTGTCCCTAAATACTTTTCAAGGTTGTTTAGTAAATAACTTTTGTTGTATAAGTATTCCAAACAGTTGCATGGTTGTTATTTTAGGTCAGTTGATATATATCATGGCCAAGATTTTCACATCATTGCTCGATTAAAAGCGCAAAAGAAACTCATTCAGTGTATTCGGTGGCATCTTCAGTTTACTGCAGTTTCTTCACAGCAGTCAACATACCATTGTTTTTTGGCTTGTTCTTCCAATGAAAATGAAATTAATATCTATGATTTAACTTCAGTTTTAGGTAAGTTTTTATTCTTTAAAAATTTCATAAAGTATTAAGTTCAAACCTAAGTTTCTCTACTACTGAATAAAATTTCTTTAACAGGCTATATTTTGAGATATACAACTTTTTGGATAGACTGCTTAAAGTTTTTTGTTTTGTTTTTATCTTATTTGCATCTATAACTTCAGGAACAAATTAATTGTGAACTATAAAGATTAGTTTTGTGGTATTCTCAGGTTAAACTGACATCTGCAAAGAGTGTTAGGTAGGTTCACTTTATAATGGGAGGATAAATAATGAAGTAAGTCTAAATTTATCTAAAACTGACTGAGTTTTAGAAAGAAAGAATGTCTGGACACAAATGTACTAAACTCAATGAAACAGTCTTTATTTAAACTTTAAAATACAAACGCAGTCAAAATAATATATGCATAGGGTGAAGGACAGTGCCTTTTGTGTAAAGTTCTCTCTATAAACTCACAAGAACTTATTAAGATGTTTGTAAAGAATTAGTTTATTTATTAATCTCTAGAAGAGTATCAGTATTTAAAGAAAGAACTTAAATTTGAGAGAGAGAGAGAGGTAACTAAAAGATCAGATTATTAAATACCAAATTCTATAGTATTTATATTCTCAGTACATGTCACTGGTGGTCAATCCCATCGAAAACAAAAGGGAGGTTGTAAACTAGAGATATCACCGGATCTATCCTTGGAGACATTGCTGTCAATCTTCATGTACAAGATTCAGCTAAGTCATAATAATTACGTAGAAACTTAAGGATAAGTCTGCGCTTCACATTGTTTTAAGGGCTACTTACCTACCTCTAACTAACTTTAGCTAACATGTCTTTCAGCAACTACAGGGAACACCTATGAATGGCAACTGCAGCCCACAAGTTGAAGATTTATATTTATTAGAGCTTGAATTTTCATTTCATAGCAAAACTTAGTAAGAGAGAGAGACTATAACAAAGCTGTACACATTAGTCATGCTTGTTGATATGATGATATTCTTTAACTAAATTATCAAGGCTTTGTTGACTTTGGGAAACGCTCATCAACCAGAATTCATCTACATAAGCACTAGGTATTTGCTTTGCTATCTTTACCATCCCATTGTATGACTCAATAACTAAACAATAACTTGTCATAGCTATTTATCTTGGAGGTAAAGCTAATCTAGAGTTACACTGTCAGATCCATTTAATGGGCTTTCATTGGTCACTACACATTTTTAGAAAGTATCATATAAAGTTTTGCATATATTATTATCACATATTTGAAATCATAGGGAATCAGTGACAATGCTTGAAGCAAACAACTTGTTTTTAAGCATCTTATAAGTACAGTTTTGTTCTATTCGTTTTTTAATACCACCACCAACTAAAACATTAATTACGTCAAAAAAAAAGTGGAACCTACAGAGGCTGTCAACCTGATAAAGTATTTATTATCCACAAAACTTTTTCCAGACCCTCTCTAGAATATGGAAACATGGTAACTTGTAATATGTCAAATCACCTTTTTCAAAAACTAAAACAATATCAAAACTACAGAATCAGACTTGCCTATCGATTACCAACATACACTCCCCAACATTATCTGAACACAGCAACAAACCTTCAGCCAATCAAACACCGATTTATCTCTCAAGCAAAGAAATCTTACTGAAAAGTGGAAAAAAGGAACTCATAAACTTACCTCTTCCTAAAACTAGCTGCCACACCAACATCTTGGATGAAATACAGGTCTCCATTCAATTTCATTGAAAACTACAATTCTGATTTTGCTTAACCCATACGCTTCTTTCCCCAACAGTCTACACTAAGGGCACTTTTCAGATAGAATAATCGGCCCCCAAACAGTGAAAGTGGGTTTTCCTCTGGGCACTCCAGTTTTCCCCCCATAGCTAAATTGTGAAATAGGGTCACAACTCACACTGACCTGAAAACGTTTTGCTTATTCAATTAAATTTTAACTTAGATTCAACTCTCCTATCCCACCGTAAATTCACTTTAATCCACTGGATCTCTTTTCTACCCCACATGCATACTTGGTCACAGTCTTGAACCCTGGACCCATTGCTCGAGAATTGAGCCTTACTCCGACTCTTTTCTTTTCACTAGAGACTGTCTCAATGACGTCACAAAGTTCTTCCACAACAACGGTCAACTCACCACGACTACTGACCATGTGTCTTAACACTGCCATGTGGTACAAGCTCTCACTCTCCTTCCCTTCTTGTCTCTAACTCGGCCAACTCGAACGCCACAGGAAAAAATTAACACGACTCGGCTCAGATATCTTAAGTCTGTATGGGCACCTGTTCTGATAATCCAAAATTTTCATTTTATTTTAAACACGCACAGGGTAAAGAGAAACAATAGTTTCTGATAGCCCCAGGTTGGCTTTCAAGCTTTAGTGTGCTAACTCTTGAAAGTCTTTCAAACCTAAATTTCTACCAAGTAAAAGTAAAGTAAAGTATTGGTTAGGGCTGAATGCGGCTTGTTTTTAAGCATAAGTAAAGTTTCATACTGTTCTTTCTTTAATGTTACTTCCAATGAAGATATTGGTTAGGGCTGAATGCAGCCCAATGGTTAGCGGTGCACTTTGGGTTAATGGAAAATTTATGAGTGTGTCAGTCAAATCCCACTTTTTGATTACAGAAATCCAAGAGTTGGGAGTGGGTGGTATTAACTAACTGGCTTCCCTCTAATCTATCACTTCAAAGTTAGGAATGGTTAAAATGGTTGATATAATTATTTTCATTTTACATTTATTATATGTATATATTTATTTTAAATGCTATGAGGATTATATTGTATTGTTAACTTTGTATATGGATTCAGGACTAACCTAAATCCCCCAAGCTGACCAAACCTCATGAGTTAATAATATTGTGATTACATCCAATGTTATTAATAACATCAATTGCTGAATCAGTGCATTCTAATCATCACAAGTTTTTGTTTAATGTCCTAGTTAGACTAGTATATTAAATTAGTTACATTCATTACTTGGTAATTTGTAGATCTGATATATGCATGTAGCTTGTTGTAATCAGAAGTTATTGATAATTTACCTTTTTGTAAAAAATATAAGTTAATATTTATTTTCAATGGGCTTCTAGATTGCTAATTTTTAATATACAAAATTTAACTCTCTAGAAACATAATTAAGTAATCAATAACACCATAATTCATATTTATAGTTTTTGTTTCTTTAGTTACAGACCACAAGCAAATTAAATATTGGTTGGATATCTACCAAAAAACATCAAATTTTGTACATTCCATAGGATACAATGGTAGAAAATAGCATTAACTTTTAGAGTTCAGGAATGTTGATGATATAAAACAACAAAATTATATCTAGTTTTTACTCACTGAATTATTCAACACTTTAATTTCACAAGAACAGTTAATATTCTAATTATAATACCTCTTTAAAACATTTAAATAATCAAATAGAAACTTAAAATTACAATTTGCCAAACTTATTTTTAATTTACTGATGAGAGAAAATATTAAAATTTGCTGCAAACAACAACCAAGCTCTTAATTGCCAGTAAAAGTCTACATTTCTTTGTAGTCTAGATGATTGTCATTTCTTGACATGATCGACTATTTTTTCACAGTAACTGTAATTATTAACTTTGTGAAAATAGAAAGTATTTCTGCTTAAACTTTAAAACTATAATGATGCTTTTATTGATTTATCAGACTTTGTAAACATATAATTCTATACTTTAAAGACATAGTCCTACACTATGTGCCATTACATATTATAAAGTGTAGTATTACTGAAAATTATTAACTGCTAGGTTTAAAAAAGAATAACAGCCTCTAGGGGGGGGGGTCAATATACAGAAACTTTTGTCAGTTTGTTTTTAATACTGTTTGGACCACCAAGGATTCTATCTATAAGTTTTCAACCAAATCTTACCCAGAATTAACAGGTTAATGTGTAAAATGTATGCTGAGATTCTGGTAATAAGTTTGAAATGCAGTAAAGTTTTCTCATGCTACTTTTCTGATTTATAGATGTGGGAACTGTTTTTATTGTGTTGAACTGAAACTGAAATGTTGAACCTAGGTGAAAACAACAATACAAGGACTTGTGAAGTTACTATAACACAGCCAACAATTCAACTTGCTGGTCATCAATTTCGTGTCACATCTTTGGCATGGAGTCCTCACGTGGACTGCAGACTGGCATCAGTGTCTTATGATGGTACTGTTCAAGTAAGGAGATTACAATGAAATGGGTCTTGTTTTTACATACTGTAAGAGTTTGCATGTATGTTTTATTTATTATATTGATAAGTAATACAAATGGTGGGTTCAGATTGTGAAGAACTGTGTCCTACAGCTGGACAACATCTACAATGAAAACTGTGAAGTAAGTAAGTCATTGTTGTTATACATGTAACTTGTTAAAAAGATAATAAAAATTATTTTGACTTTCTACTTAAATCATTAACTGATGTTATGATTTTAAACTGAGGAATCTGAATATTTAACTTGATCTTAATGATGAATCTTAGTCTCATCAATTCTTATATCACTGAAAAACTTGTACATGTAATAGCAAGTAGGTAAAGAACATTATTTAAAAACAGCATGTTAATTTTGCCTTATAATGAAGAATTAGTGTTTAGCTAAAGAACAGATCGCATACATGTTGTGTAAAGTATCATTTTATTGATAGTAAATATTTATTAATTGCATTTATTGGTGGCATGCATATATATCCACTTAGGCAAAGTAGTTTGCAAACCAGACACAAATCAATCTGCAGTTTCTGCTGTCTAATTAAAACTTTGTAAATTATTTTAAAGGATATACTAATGGCTAATCGAAAAAATAGAAAGGTGACTCCATCGCTATGGTCAAACAAATGACAACTTGTTTTATTTTGACCCATGTTATGCCTAGTAATTCAAAGAGATAGCTGTATGTTTATAAAAGGATCATAGCTTATTTTTGTGACTATGTTTTGAAAATACCTCAACCCCTAAAATAATAAAACTATGTGATTTTATAGAAATGACTATAATTGTCACAACTATCACAGAATCACATTTTTTCTGATATGATACATTATCTCCTCTCACATAAATAGCTATTATTTCAGTGCTGCCCTCTATATGCACAAAAAGTTTATGCATGCCATAAGCCTTTGATCTCCCACTCAGTTGGAATTGACTGATTCCAATGCATCTCTCATGCAAATCATCATGCGACAACCTTCCACCAATAAGATTGTGACATACTCTCTTGATACATGGGACTCCCTCTGTTCAGTTCTCTCGACTATCACTTCTTATTTGGCAGTGCTCATGTTATAGCATTTAGTTTGTGCTATTTTCAAGTGTTTTATTTTAATATTTTTCCATATCTTTGTATCAATTTCTCTCAACAAGTTTACTCTTTATTATACAATAGTTATATTTGTAACTTGTGGAGTTATTCCAAAGTGGATCTATTTTATATTTCTATCCAGTTACAGAGCTTATTTCTTCATTACAAAACATCAAACAGTCGTGTTTGGTTATTTATTTTGCATTATGAATTCTGTTTTACCACTTTGGAGGCTATATGTTCTATTAGCACATTCACACAAGCTTCAGGTTGCAGTACTCCATGATAAGATTTTCGGCTTTACTTTGTCAGGAGATTGATTGTCCAAGTTTGGGGACCCACACATTTGAAATAAAGTCCACCAATTTTGGAAAGATAAGACATTCTACTGTTATGGTTTTTATCTGTAGTTATTTGGGTTCCATAACATAACTTTTGTTAGATTGGTTAATACTCATAGTCAAGTGCAGGTTAGCAATTAGTCTTAGTTGTATTAGACCGTGGAGGCATCCTCCTGAATAGGTTAATGGAATACTAACAAAGTATAGAAATTATTGTAAAACCATTCAGTTGAGAATAGGGTGGTGGTGTTCTGCTGGTGTAGATGGTGTGATATCCTCCAATATGAAACAAAAATAAATGGGAGTGAGCCATCAAAATGGCAGTTCACCCTTCGATCGGGATCCCTTATCCTACCCCCCATGTGGATGTTGGTTCCCAGTGGCTGGGTTTTGGATTTAGAGTTGAAGCAATCAACATAAGTTCTCACACATGTATTACAGATGCCTATATTACCTTCCTTGTTTATATTCTTGTTACTGCATCAGTGTTGTGGGTCACAGTGGAGGTTCTTGCAGATTATTATGGTTTTCCCCTTGCACTATCCCTTGATGCTTATCATTCATACTGTGCTTGGGGTGGTTCAAGTCAATTTCAAGTTTGAGGGAGATGGTTTGCATTACACAGACATCTTTTCAATACCAGGTTCCTGGATTGATCTATCAAATTCTTACATTAACATGTGCCCCGTTCATGGGTTAGGGGTTCTGGGTTCCCTCCGGTCTTATGAGCTTGAGGAAGACAGTATGATCCTCTTTCCTATCCCCACCAGATGGCTGGGTTTTGGATTGTATTTGACTTGCCACCAGTATGATCCTCATCCTACCCTTGCATGGATGTCGGTTCTCAGCAGCATGGGTTTTGGATGTAGTTGACTTGCTGTGTACAGTCTGTTGCACCCTAGCCACTCTACACCTAGGGGCCTATCGTTTTATTCTTACCCACATTTATATTTTCTGGGATAGGGTTTCATAAATATCATATGGTTTGGATCCTTATCCTGCCACAGTTCTCTCCCACTTGGATTTGCTCCTTCATTTTTCCACCCATATATATGCAACATTTTTCTGAGATGGCTGATGGTTATACGGTGCAGTCTCCCACATTAGATCTTTGATTCTGAATATCTCCTCTTGGGGAGTGTCCTTTGGAAGCTTTCGAAGGATTCTTCTTTCTTTCCCTCTCACCTATCCCTCCACCTATTCAATGTGGGATTTTAGCTATTTGTGTGAGTGGAGGTAATGTGCCGTATCAGAAGTTATAATTTTCCTGTACTGTAAATGTATTTCCAATAGGTACTTACCTCCCCTTACACTTCCCACCTTTTCTCCCCACTGAAAACTGGTGCTTCCATTTTCTGCCAAAACTCGAAGTGGTAGTTAAGTAGAATTGAATAGAGGGAGTCACATGTGTCAAGATAGTATGTTGCACTCTTATTGGTGGAGTGTTGTCGCATGATGATTTGCATGAGAGACACATTGGAATCAGTCAATTCCAATTGAGTGGGAGGTTAAAGGCTTGTGGCATGCATTAAAAAAATTGGATATAGAGGGCAGCACTGAACAAGAATAGCTATTTATGTGAGAGGAGGTAAGTACCTATTGGAAATAATTTTCAGTATAGGAAAATTATAATACAAGTTCTGGAAGAGATCACTCTGGCAATAAGGTAATATTAAAGGATAGGTGTAGGAAAATTACAACATTTCAAGATAAAATCATACATTGCATTTAGTGTTTCAAGTTCCTTAAATTTTTGAACTATGGATGTAAAATGATCTGATTCTGATGAAAGAAGATGCCAATAATGTATGTTTCAAATGAATGGCATGTATCTTCTTGTAAAATGTTTTCTTTTATTCATTTATTACCCCCTTTAATAATTCAGTTACTAATCCATGCCCTTCAGTAACTGTATATTTTATATTGTATTTGATGGTTTATGTGAGTTGGTAACAGAGCTACCAGAAAAAAGGACTAGGATGTATCATACTTTCTCTCCAAAATATATTTTTAGTTTCTGGAACACCCATATCATTAAAGTATTTGGATAAATCTTCCATTAAACTTTGGCAAGAACACTACTACTTTCTGTTTAGAAAACAGTATTAGTTCCACTGCAACAGCCAGACTCTTCAGTGCCTCATCATGTACTGAAGAAATCTGTTTACCTTCTGTTTTCTATTGTGCAGCTTGCATGTTCCTTTCTTATGTGTAATAAGAATATCACATTGTATGACACATGGCATCAGATATGAATAGATCATGGCATGAGAGCAATTTTAGTGATATATCATCATCCACATTTTCCTCAGCAGTTGGTAGGGTGTGGAATCATGTTACTGCTTCTTTGACTAGTGGAATGAGTTTATTGCCTTTGTTATCACCATCACTACAAATGAAGTAGTAGATATCCTGTAGTAGATGTCTTCTAAGTCCAAGGCTCCAGAACACATGCCTTACATGGTAGATGGTGCTGAGAAATTAGAGGTCACTTTATCTTTTCACTCTATTGATTGGAGGTTGTGTAATTTTCAGCCTGTAGACAAATCCTGAAAGTATAATGAAAAGACAAGTTGTAAAATTAGAAATAAAAGGAGCAACCGTGCCTTTTTTTTTTTTTCATTATTATTGATCATGGAGTTTCAAAGTACTTTTACGAGTTCGAACTGCTAAAGTTTCACATTTATTTTCTTTGTTTATTTTACTGTCAACGACTAGAGTAGAACCCCGTTGAAAATAAACCAACAAATCACAACTTATGTTAGTAGACTCTTTATGCGACACCATCATAATACAATACTCCTGACAGCAACAGAGCAAGTGCGAAAAGATAGTCGACTCGACCCCTGCTCTGAGAACGGGATTATAAAGGCTAAAATGTTTTCTTGGAAAATTCAGAATAATCACACTGCACTTAGAATCAATGAAAAAGTTTATGCCAACAACAGAATGTGTAATTTATCGGCTTATGTATGTATCCTATAGTGTTCACAACAAGACTTTTCAAGAGTAACAACACTGCACTTTGAACCTGTCAAAACATTTATTATGTGGTTTGGTGCTGATACAATAAACACTGCAATTCTTTGAGTATTGTAATCCTTTTGGGGTGTTTGGAATTTAGCAGCATAGGTGTACAAAGATGTTATTTGAGCACATGCTTATAAAATCCTATTTCCCTGGTTGGTACTAGTTATCACACTCATTTAGTTTTGCAAGCCTTATAAGTCTAGTCTTCTTTGGAAAACATTCTTACTTTTGCAGCTAAATTGTAGTTTAGAAGTTCCCTTACCGTTGCAAAACACCTTGAGTTGTTACTGACCCCTGCCTTGAAGTAAGTAATAATCATTTATAATATATATATATATATATATACAGAATCAAGTACAAATTACAAATCTAGCTGTATTACCAATATTTTGGCTACCATACGTTACATGTATACATGTATATTTACTCATAAATGCTTTGATTTTAGTTATTTTTCTTAAAACATTAACAATGAATGAAAACTACATAGAAAAACAATGATTTCTAGTACTTACAAGAAATTACAGTGATAGGAAAATATTTTGCCCTCGTGTGCCTTTAGTGCTAAGCCTCGTTTATTTTTTCAAGTGGAGGGTGAATAAATATAACTTTTGTAGGCTTCAAATATACATTTTGGAAAGAAACAAATATATTACATTACTCTACTAGTATACCCAAAACATTTGTAACTTGCTTGGGTTTATAAATAAAGTATATATGTGTTAAAATATTTTTTATCTACATTCAGAGCAACAACTTGGTCATCACCATTCAACAGTCTTGACTAAATTTTTTTTTTTCCCCCAACTCTTTACAAACAACTGTCAGAATCACATAAAGCGCAACTTGTCCTTTCTATTGGTTATAAACAGATACATAAGAAAAGTAGATGGAACTATACAAGAGGTTTGGGAAGAATAGAGTAGAAGGAGGTGCCACACTAGTTGATTTGCTAGATACGTTGATTTCTCAGCAAATCAAAGTGGTGGGAGGTTCTAAATTTATATTCTAGCTTGCCAGTATCTAAAATTCATGTTTCTAATTCGTTAACCACTTGTAAACGTATATAGTAGGTGTAAAAAATATAAACTGTGCAACAAGACATGGGGAGGTGCTATGTGACACTCACAAATCAATATTTAGCTTTATTTTATTTTGAATTAAGAAATTAAAACATACATAATATTAAAATTTGAAATAGAAGCAATGTATTGATGCCAAAATCATGGATATATAGTAATAATAAATTTACTTAATAAAGTTTTGAAAATGAATTGCTAACAAACCGTGACATGCACATTAGACCCACCTGTTGCGAAAGGGTGAGTTATGTCATAACAAGAGGTTCATACAATCATTACTTTCTCACAACAGACAATTTTACATACAAAATAGGTTCATTAGGTTCATTCTTTTGTCCCAACAGATAGCACTACTTACCCAGAAGTTCATTATAATTATTACTTAATTGTGATCATTATTATGCCACATGAAACTGCTCAGTCCACTTATACAAAAGTTAATTGTGATCATTAGTTTGTCAGAATAGAGAATTTCATTTAAACAAGTAGATCATTATGATCATTACTTTGACACAAAAGAGTTCCACCCGCACAAAAAGTTCATTATTCTCCTCTGTTGCAGCAAAATTTAATGTGCAAAAAAGGTTCATTATGATTTTGTCATAAAAAAGTAGTCTGACTGGACAGAAAACTCATGATACAAGTTCCTTTGTGATAATAGAGTGCTCCACTTTCACAAGAAGTTTGTGGCAATCATTCCTTTCTCACAATAGACAGTTCCACTTACACAACAAGTTAGTGGAACACATTTCAGTTCTGTGGCTTGTAATCCTTACAGTGACTTTCATGATGTTTTACTCTTTATTGGATTATTAGAAATTGTCTATTGTTATTTTACCCTCATAGTTTTGTGTATTAGTATTTATTTTAGAATCCATTACATTTTGAAAGTAGAGGATTTATTGATTGTTGGTGTTTATTTTAATTTTTCATGACACATTGAAGATATGGGATGTATTGACTGGAACTCCAGTAGCAAATTTTGCAGGACATCGTGGACGGGTGTTCTGTGTAGAATGGAATCCATTAGATCCAGATTTGGTCTTCAGTGGTGGTGAAGACTTCACCATTCAACAGTGGCGAGTATCTCAACAGGAAAATATACTACCTCCTCCCAAAAGTTAGTTTTAAAGATTCTTTTTTATGGTCTTGTATTGTAGAAAATATATGTATACACATGCATATAAAGATAGAGGGAGATACATTGTGTATTGTTTCTAAAGGTGGGATTGTTTACTTGTGATTTCATTTAGTGCATTTTAGTGGAACTTATATTGGGGTTTATGTCATTTTTAGTTTACTGTATGTGTAAAAATTCAAACCTCAGGTCCAAGAACTTAACCATTTTATAAAGTGAAAAGTACTTTTTATTTCCATTTTCATAGTTAGATAGAAAATTAGAAATATGACCAACATCATAAGTAAGTAAATAAATACATTTATGCTTTAATGTTATTTTTTGTGCAAATGATACACATGAACAAACACATGAATTATGAAGAAAAGCTGTTGCTTATTTCATCATAAGGCTGTATATAAGTCGCATGTGTTGTATTTTCTCCGGTATGCCACAATATTTATCTGACTGTATATATCAAACAATAAGTAGATAAATTAGAAATTTAATTCTATTTTGTCTTGCTTTAGCTGAAAAAAAGTTTAATTCAAAGAATGAGTGAAATATTACACTTATTTCACTGCAGTGTCTACAATTTTGTTTATTAGTGTAAGTCAAAATATAAGTGTTTAAAAGCTAGTATTAAAGTTTTCTATGAAAGTGACAGTGTGTTAATCACATATTGTGCAATTCCTACTATCGTGTTTGTTATTTCACTGTAGAAGAAAGAACTCGCAAGAAGAAAAGTACAAAAAGTCAGAGATACGAAACAACAAGTGAAGATGTCCAAGGGCTTAATGATTCAACTGTTCTGAAAGAATTAGATCAACTGCTGGAAATAAAAAAGCAAGAACTACAAAATCCTTCACAAAAAGAGATGGAGGTGAGACAGCACATAATGTTGTGGAGAAAATGTGAAAAACTTATTGAACAGCATCTTAGAATCATCATTTAAATGATATTATATTTAATAGAGATGAACAGACATGACATTAATGTTATTCTTGTAGTAAATATATTCACATCAATGCATAGCAGTAATATTAATAGTTTAATTTCTTAATGTACAATAAACATAAAACTGTCAGGCCTAAACTCAATTCTTAGGTGGAAGAGTTCAAAATTGGATATGAAAATCCATACTGAAAAATTAAAAAAAAACTTGATTCTTTTGGTGCTTTTTTTTGTTTTGTTTCATATGTAAGTTACCTTTTTAATACACTTGCATACCTATGCAGTGATTTATTCTATAAATCTACAATTGGTTGATGATCAAGCATGTTAGCAAACTCGGAGAGAAAGATTTGTTTGTGAATGCACAAACATTTTCAGTACTGGCAAAATTTTCTGTTTCTACCCATGTAACTTACATGTTTGAAGTAGTTAACAGATCTTGTTCAATTATGAGTTTTTAGACTTGAAACCCACCTTTAACATGGTTTGTCTAAAGAAAGGATTTTCAGCAGCAAATTAATGTTTTAGTTTTTACCATACATTTAGTAGTGTAATTAATTATTTTAATTATAGAGGCTAACATATTTTGATTTTTTTTTCAAACATAATTTTGGATTTACAGAGAGGGTTTTGTGAGTTAATAGCATCATAGTGCATTTAGATAGGATATTAATGTGTATAACAGTATAAAAGCTAGGCTAAAATATCTAATATATAAAATACTGAAACAGATTATTATGTAAAATCTGTCAGCTTTCAAAATATTTGCAGTGTACTATAGATATAAGATCTACATGACTGTAATAACTGTTGTTCAGTAACAATGTGTAAGAAGTTTGATTTTACAATAACTGGACCTTCCACCTACTATGTTTGCACTCATTCCTGTTAACTAATCATGTACCCCCACGCGAGTCGTGGTGTCTTGCCACACACTAAGTAATGCTTTGTAGGATTGGCAGGCATACTCAAGACTGAAGTAGTGCACTTTGATAAGTTTAACTTTGTTATAAAAGTTCTCTCTTCTGATCACTGTATAGCTATTTATTTTATTGTTTCTTTTTCATGTCATTCAGGCAAGCAGTAATTAACAGCCTACTTCAAAACTGTCATCTAACAAAAATAACCAACATGATGGTATAAGGAAAAACCTATTGAACATAATGTTTGTAATATCACCCAGAATAAACTATTTATTAAACATAATATCATAATCAACAATAATGGTTCATAATAGGGATCACCCAGAAATTTCACAACAATTCTAAAAGAACATATGGGCAAAATCCATCTTTAAAAGCAGAATTGTTCTTGAAGCAATGCTCAAGACTTTCTACCTCAATGGCTAAGGCTGCTAAAATATTGATAATAGCTAAAAAGTTGATTTTACGATTGTTAGACAAAATTAAAAAAAATTTTTTGTTTCAAATAGTATTATTATTATTATTGTTTCACAAGCCAAAAGAAAAATAGCTATGAATATTTTATTCAAACCTGGTCAAATCTACTAAACAAAAATTCATGCTCAAGTCATAGGACTATTTTTAAGTTGATTCTTGAAATAGAAGGAGAGAGTTTGTTAGTTTTTCATCGCTACTGGCCAAGTTTCTCTTTGAAGCCATTCAAGCACCAAAGCCTATACCAAAAACGGCTAGGTATGCTGTGCCAAAATCTATGCACAGCTATTAAATAGACTCATGCGAATGTTGTAGGGCTATTTTTTAAGTTGATTTTTGAAAGTCAAGATTTCCACCCTCTAAAATTTTCTAAGTTCTTCTTTGCTACCAACATAAGCTCATCAAAACCATTGAAGCATTGCAGAAATCTAGATGCCATTTAAGCACACCATTATACTATTCAGAAATGCTCCATTTTATAATAGTCGGAAACACTTCATTTTATTATAGTAAACAGAGTGTATATTTATAACAGTGTCTCCAGCCTTATTATTATTGATTATAGTTTTACAAGCTGCTACAGAAAAAATGCATACAAATACTTTACTGCAACGTGGACAGTAGTGAGGAATGCACTGTTGAGGGTAGTTTAGTATTAATTCAATCACCTTTGTTCTTGCACTCTCATTAATTTCTCTAAGTTCAACACTTTCTGCCATTGAAACAAATCTGGTGTTTTACTCATGTGCATTAATTGAAAAATGATTTGTACAACTTTTCGCTCATTAGTTGGAAACTGCCATGTTAAGGATTCATCATTTCTTGAGTTCACTGTTCTTCATTATTTCTCAAGAGTGCTGTTGTTCACTGTTCCTTATGTGGTTTTCTGCAACTATTTCAGTGAGTTTTCTAACAGTAGATAATTATCATAGTAGATTTCTCTACTCTTGTGAGTGGTTATTTTTTCTACTGATTTTCATACTTTGCCAAAATTGTGAGTGCATATTTTAGTATCTAAACTGTAAAAAAGTGCTTCTAAGAAAAAGTTATTTGTTATAAAAACAGAGACTAAAAGAATTTATCATAATATGGCCAAGGCAATCAATATTATAGGATACATAGTTTAAAACTGGTTGCTAAAAAATGTAAACTGTATATTTGGTTTATAATTATTTTGTTATCATGTTTGTCATTTCTATTATTGATGGCACGAGTATGAGTTACTTGTCATTTGGTCACTTTTGTGTTTGATTATGTGTATGTTACTGTTGACTAAAATTGAAAAGTACTGTAGACTTAGAGTTAAAATAAGGATTTGTAGCTTGAGAAAGTAATGTAGACGCTATTTCCAGCTTAGTTTGCTTACTTTTTTTCGAGTCCCTAGTTGTAGGCTTGAAAATATAATAAATGCATTTTGATTCAACTTGTTTCTGTACTTTTTTGATGATCCCTATTCCCATTTTTAGATTAAAACTTTTTAATTATCTTGTTCATAATATCACCTAGCGCAAACTGCTGCCTGAAGGCTTATGCTAAAAATTGGGTTTTGATACCTGTGGTGGGCACATCACAGATAGTTCCTTGTGTGTGGCTTGTTGATAATGTTGATATCAGCTAGCACAAATTGCCTATTAAACATAATGTTTTGAAATGTTACTCACCTCTCTGCATCTTATGGGCACTACTGTGTAACTTCCTGCGCATGCCACAAGGCTTGAACAAAGCTACTACCCCTACACGTGTCAATGTGTATTGTGTCAGCCTATAAGTAATCATAATTAGACCAAAAGTCTCCACTAATAGGAGGACAACTCATCCTCCATGCACAGTAATCTCCATGAGCTCTAGCCATGAACACAGGCTCATTCTTTCCTCGGCACTGGTTTTCTTCAGATGTGTTCTTTTCATAAGATTTACTGGAATTAATTTTCTTTATTATATGCAAGAACATTACTTGCATATAACTTATCAGTTAGAACTTTCCTTTGAATTATCTTCAATTTGATTTTCTACCACACCTCCTCTGTTTTTTGTCCTCTTGTTAATATCCATGATTCCTCACCCCTCTTTGAGGGCTGGCCACCATGGGTCTTGGAAGATATTTGTTTCTGGAGCCACCCCTTGGTTCTGGTCTTGTAGTACCTCTGCTTTTTACACTTTGTTCATTGGTGCACTTCCTTTACTATAGCCTATTGAGTCCCTCAGGTGCTTTCTCAGAGGTTTTTCATGTATTTCTACTTTCTAATTCACTTGTTTCAAATGTAGTGAGACAATTCCTCAAATCCAATTTAGGGTATTACTCCTGTCTTGTTATTATCCCACAAAAATGGGAGGTTGTTAGTCAAATATGAGCCTGTCCCACTTTATGTAATTTTGGTCTTTCCTTGATTGAGAATGAGCAGTCTTGTCACTTGCTGATGGATACCCTTCAAAGTGGAATATGACTTATTTGGGGTTTCAGACACTTTTACCTCATCCTAGTTTATTTGCCTGCCTTTCACTTCCTTTGGTTCATCCCATATTGGTCAAACATTTGGTTTTTATTCCTTTCCTTCGAGTTGACTTTGGTCCCATCTTTTTTCATTGAGGCTAGTGAGTTTTTACTCAGAGGTTGATTTCTTGAGGCCTGTTATTTCACTGCTCTGTGGACATTTGGCCTCCACTTGACCCTTCTAACTTGTTTTCTCTGTTGTGACCTCTTTTCTCCTTTGGGATGGCTGGATTGGCTTTCCAATTAAGTTTCAGCCCTCATCCTGTATTTCCTTTGCTTTGTGGTCTTTTTCACTGTCTTAAGTTGCAGTAACCCATTTCACTGTTTTTCAGTTTGGGAAATCTAATTACAGATGATTTGCCTGATGACAATGGTCCATACACTTCTCCAGTGTTCTCTCCCTGTCAGATCCCACCCCCCCATTTCTTCTAGTGGAATATGGGAGATCCCTTTCTTCCCCAATCCCAATCTGCTAGCGAAGTCAGTATGGAGAGTTCCTCATTGGTTGGTGCACACTGGTACAAGACAAAGTGGACATACCATTCGTTTGGGTAGTAGGGCTGGGGTGTTACTCGGTAGTGTAGTACAAGACTCCCTAATATTATGAACCACGCCATTCTCAGTGGCTATGTCCAGCTGGTTCGGTCTTGGGTTCACCTCGGGACACAGATTTGAGATGCTAATCCCTGCACTTGATATTTGTGGTGAGTATATCACATAAGTATTTCTCCAATATGGTATGGCCTACCTTATATCCCTTGTCATACTACACACTCTTGCTCAGCTGTCCGTCTATGCAATAATGGACAGTTGAGTAATTCCACCCACATTAGCATCCAGCCAACAGTTCTTATGACAATATCTTCTGCTCTACCAATCTATTTGGTGAAGAGTATTCCCTGCTTGAGATGGATGTGGTCTCACTAATTATTGAATCACCAATTTACTCCCATGTTATGGATGCTACACTCCAAGGGCTTTCCCTTTTGATACTGTTTTCAGAAAGAAGCTCAATTTTGTAATTTCTCTGCACTGGCCCTTCACCATCTTTAATGTGGAATTCTCGCTTTTTGTGGCACATGGAGGTGAGTAGCATTTCTGAAGTTAACATTTTACTTACCTAAAAATGTATTTCAGATAGACACTAACCTCTCACTCTTCATCCCCAATTATGAAGCATTTAATATGCCTCATCTAGAATGAGCTTGTGCTCATGATGATTACTGTGCATGGAAGATGTGTCACCATCATGTTGCTGGTTGGCTACAGTCTAATGATGATTACATCATAGGCTGGCACAATACTCGTTGACTTGTGTAGGGATGAGAGCTTTATACAAGGCTTGCTTCGTGTACAGGAAATTGCATGGCAGTGCGTGTGAGGTAATAGCTCTTTGTGGTGCTGAGAGATATCTATTTGAATTGAAATAGATTTTGAGATAAGGAAAATATTAACTTGCTAATATCAATTACCACAAACTGCTCATTAAACATAACATCACCTAGTACATAATGCCTATCTAATAAAACAGCTTGTATGTTTGTTTGTCAGTCAGTCAGTGCCATAGCTCCAAGAAGAAAGAACCTAGAGACCTGAAACTTCGCACAGATACTAAGGGAATTCTGAGGGTGTGCATCTTAGTATTATTTTTATTGTGCACGGACTTTACATTAAGTTACTTTTTTTATTTGTGAGCTTATGGCCCTCTTACTAGAGCTCTTATTGGACAACAATGTACTGGGTGATAAAACTCTGTTTAAAATAGGTGTCTAGGCAACAGTCGTAACAAAAACTGACTTGGGGTATTAAAGTTATTAGCTAATTATGATGAATATAGAATATATATTGATTGCTTCAATATAATACACATGAGGATAATACAATTATAGATATTATGTCAAGAAACAAAATAAAGGAATATTTCATTCTCCAAATAATACACTGTAAAACTAAAGGTTTAATTTTATATCAAAACCACATAGATACTGTGTTTGTGTAAGTTTCTAAATATTGCCTTTGATTTTAAATTACAAAGTAAGTTGAGTAGTTTGGCTAGCTGAGAGAGTGATTGTTAAGTTGAGGGCTGAACAAGAATTTAGGTTTTATTCCGTACAATGTTTTTTAAAAACCTGTTGTTACTAAATTGTTATTGTTCTATATTTTTTCAAAGAAATTAAGCATAAAAGTGTGTTTTAAAAACCTATTGCTACAAAACTGTTATTATTTTACATTTTTTAAAAAAGAACCCATGTATAAAAGTGTTACAATTCATATTATAATTTTTGCCAATAATGTAAAACAATAACAGTTTTGTAACAACAGGTTTAAAAAAAATGCATAAAAATGTTAGAATTAATATTATTGGTGGAAATGGTTATATTTAAATGTTTATTCATTTGTATCTAAAAATGTATTTTCAAATTATGTGTGTGTGTGAGGTTAAGGAATTTTGTTATAAAGTTATTATTTCAAATAAAACCTTATATATATAAAAAATTTGACATATATATTGAATCTTCAATGAAGACCTAATCGTCTTAATTTCTGAGTTCCATTGTGTTGGTGTTACCGACTGAACTCTGACCTCTCCCTCAAGTAGATCAGTTGCTTGCATTGATTTTTCAATGTAGAACACTATGGCTTAGCAGGTTAGAAGCGGTTTTTCCTGAATTAGAAATAGTCTGTTACAATATGTACACTTTTCCTTGATATGACCAGATCTAGCAGTAAGAAGTATGAATTGTTGATGTACCACTGAAGGTAGTTTAGTAGCCATCTCAAATTCTCTCAAGTGACTTTACTGGATTAATAACCATTTAATACAATAACTTTTAAGGTGGTTGGAGAGGATTGACCTGATTTAACCCTCTCACAACTGCACGTGTCACAATGTTTTCAGTAAGTTACGATGAAAATTTAATTAAGCTATTTTTTCTTCATGTTATACCAATTAGTATAGCATAAAATTGAAGCTGATGATCCATATTTTAATGGCATATGTTTTAAGCTCTAAATTTTATAAGGCAATATTTTAAAAAATCCTGAATTTCCCCAAGTGTGGGAAGTTTGACTTTCTTTTCTCTAGGCATCCCTTCTTTAATTTATTTACCACATCTCCAAGAAGTACAAAATTTAATGTAAATTACTCATTTTAATGTTATTTTCTCTGAGGCAAAACATAATTTTCATAGCCTTTAATTTTGTTTGGTTACATAGTCATCAAATAGAAAATCAGACCCTATTGCCACACCCACGTGTCACATCCTCTCTTTCAGGATTTGTTAATAGTACTCTCTGATGTTCAATACCATATTATTTATAACCAATAGGAAGCCAAGATTTTGATCAATCAAATGATGTTTTATATTACATTATGTTTTGTACAGAAAAATTTTAATTTCGCTTTCAGTACAAACTTTGTTCCCACAGGAAATTATCCCGTGGGAATGAAGCTTGTACTGGAAGAGAAATTAACATGCTGCAGATGTAATGACAGTCTAGAAATTTGAGGAGTACAGAAGTTGACATTTACTCTTACAATATTAAGCATTCACTAAATCATTCGGTGAATATGAGTACTATGCCATTGAATTTGAATACAAATACTTTAATTTTCCCTACCAAAGTATTTAAATACAACTATGAAAGCTGTATTCGAATGCATATGAATACAATTACCATGTGTCTGACTGCAACATTATGTCCAGTTGGCAAGTTGCAAGATTTATTTCATCAACCTGTGTATAGCTTAATCCAATTGGAAAGTGCCATGCATCAGGGACAACATGATAATTTCATGTTGGTAAACTTATACATTTATTTCATGATTCACAGCTCTGGCCAAAAATGTGTTGACTTTACACAAGTATTTCTGAGGCGAGTCTTCAAACCACTTATGTAATATCATGCTTAGATTGTTAGGGCATCAAAGGGCTGTAAAGTCTTTTGTATTTATTAGCAATATTGTGATAGCTTGGTCTTGATGTGATGATAAACAGGCCAAAAACAATTCAATTGTCAATGTGCTGGAGGCTGGAGCCTAATATGAAGGGATCATCTGAATATATAGTGTCTAAATCAAATAACTACACTGGGTTCCCATTATATGTTGCATTGCTATGTGTCATTTATTATTAGTGTTCACCAGTTACTACCCATGTATCAAACAGTATTGCTTTGTTTCATTACTAGAGTATTACAGTGCCATTGACTACTTTTCCAGGTGTAGTGTTTACCAATTACTACCAATATTTTTGAAATAATGTCACCTTGTTTCATTAATAGAGTGTTAAAACCTTGTCAGATTATTTAACCAGGCATAATGTTCACCAATTACTGTACAGTACTGTACTACCAATATGTGTGTGAAGCAACATTGCCATGTTCCATTACTAGAGTGTGTCAATGTTGTCGGACTAGTTCACTGGGCAGAGTGTGATATGTTTTCCACTGGCCAAGACGACAGAGGATGTAAACACATTGTATTTGTATGCCATTGTCTGAGAACATTGTTTTTTCTGCTGCAGAAAAGCTATGTTACACCCATTAAAAAAGTTATTCAAGAGGGGACCAAAATTTTTCAGGAATGCATCCATCCCATAAAACATGTAAAGATTGTGTTGCTTAACATTGTTTCAGATGTACGTCCCACTTTCCAGGAATGCATCACAACGTATAATGAGGACCCCTGTATGTCCCAAAATAAAGCTGTTACAAGTTTGCCTTATACTTCATTCATACTTCTGTGTTTAATGTGCAGTATTTATGATTGTTGAAGCTATAAATAGAACTTAGCAAGGCACAAGCATTTCAAAGCAAGCAAATTGACATGACAGGAACATGAGCATAAAGCAACTTTTAAGTTATGCTTGAACTGTAATTACGGTACATTTGCTTGAATTGGTTACAAAGGTCATAGATAAACAATTTAAATACTTGTTTTGGCAAATTATTTAGACATAACACAGTGAGAAAATTTAAAAATATATATTTTCCTTCTTTTCTGAGATTAATATCAGTCTATGAGTATGTGTTAAGAGAGGCATAATGGTAATTGCTAAAATCCCTTTCAGAACATGGGAGGATGGGGGGAGGGGATTTGAAAATCATTGGTTGAAATATTACATTTTTATAGAAGAAATAATGCCAACTTTATGCTAGAAATTAATTGAAACTATGAAATAATTCTTGAAATTCATGAAAATATTCTGAAAAAATTGTGGAATTATTGAAGAATTTGTTTCTTCTTATGATGTGGGTATCTTTTAAACATTGTTTATAACACCTAGCACAAACTGCCTATTAAACACAATGCTGGTAATATTACCTAGCACAAACTATTTGTTAATCATGTTTGATATTACTTGGGACAATTTGTCTGTTAAACATAATGTTGATAATATCACCTAAAGCTGGTAAGTTACTTTCAGTTCATGTCATGATCACATTTTTTTGAAGCCAAGTCCATATATTTTACACCAAGAAATTTAATTAATTTTCTGAACTACTTATTTGTTGGTTTTAAAATACTTTATTTGATAACACTGTACTCTTAAGACTAGACATGAAATTATGATAGTCACATTGTTTTTTTTTTCATACTTGTGTAGGTGTAGGAGCATACTAACTGTAACTTTTTGTTTTTAAGATAAATAGCAAGATCATGGATGTGTTGAGCACTCAGAAAAAGGAAGAAACTGTGACTGGTAGGTTTTGTCATAATTACTGATAAAAGTTAGGCTTAACCTTATGGCAGCTGCTTGTCAGGCCTGAAAAAGTGACACATGATAGTGTTCAAAATATAGTATATATTTGAAGTTCATTCTCATAATACAGAAAGTATAGAAACTATTGAATGTTTATGTTCCTAGATTTTCTAAGCAGTTCTGTTGAAATAGAAACCACTGTGAAATACCTAAACACTATCTTGTTATTTGATTCTCATATAACCTTTTGAGATTTCATATGAGCTTGTTCTATTGACACATTCCAGTATTTCTCTTTTTTTTTCTTATGCTATATTATTCATTTAATGTAATTAATAATTTGATCACAAAAACCAATTTAACATTTAGTCCAATTATGATGTATATAGATACATTATTATTTATTTCATTTCATTTGAACATTTATAAACTGAAAATGCACCTACAAATATGCAGTTTACATTACTGTATATTATTAACCCTTTTGCATCAGGTAGGTGAAAGTGCACATGTCACATCCTTTTACAGAGTTACATTCAGAATTTGATTAAACTACTTTATCATCAATGTATACGAATAAACTTGGCATCAAAAGTTATCAAATTCTAATATTATATAAGCTTTAAGTTCATACTTTTATAAGGAAATATTAAAAAAAAAATAATCCTCAATCTCACCTAGTTTGAAAATTGTGACATTTGCTCTTTAGATCTTCCTTCTTCTCTAATATGTTTTTCATGGGAATAATGTTTGAACTAGAAGTGAGACAGACAATTCTCTATACAGGAAATAACATAATAAAATACTGTATATCATTTGATAGATTAAAACTCTGGTTTTCTTTGGTTATAAAAATATTATATTAAAAGTCAGAAAGAACTACTGGCAATTTATGAAAGAGAGGACGTGACAGGTTGGTGTGGCAAGAAGGATTTTCCAGTTTATGGCTCTGTAACCAAATAAGATTGAGGTTATAAAAACTGTATTTTGCCTGAGTAGTAACTCTATTATAATGAGTAATTTACATTAAATTCCATAATTCTTGTAGGGTGGTAAATATCAAGGAGCTTACCTGAATTTTTAATGGCTCTTATTGCATAGTTAGAAAGCCAGAAAAAAATACAATAGTTAAGGGACATTGTCTGCTTTTTATGTATTATTATTCTGTATTCTGAGGTATAGTATTTAATTAAATAAAAAACCTTTTAGTGGGGTAATAACATTAGTATAAAAATGTTTTAAGATTCATTGACAGTCGACAGCAAAGAAAAAGAAGACCCAGGTAAGTATTATATTTCTTGTTTTTCATGTGTATTTTTTATTATAAAAGTAACTAAAATGTAAAAATTAGAAACTAGTTAGATTAGAATAGGTAAGATAAATAATAATAATGAAACTTCCTCACAATATATTCTCACGAGTAGCTTGTGCATTATGTAGTTCGATACGGTAATATGAGCTACACATTCGCCAAGTGATTTACAACTTGTGTGGCAAGATTATTAGTTAGACTTGTCCTTTTGGTAATAAAAGTGTACAATTAAGTAGATGAATACTGTTACAAGCTTTAAATTATTTAAGATAAATAATTGTGGTTTCCAGTAACAATTTGCAGTCATTCCAAAAAGAAAAAGGTTAACTTAGAATTGTTTCCTTATATTTATATGGTGGTTACAAGGTTGGTGAAATTGACTGATTCTGTATAGAGTTATAGTATAGAAAATAACAGATAAAATATAAAGTTTTTGGAAGAAAACATTTGATGTTTATTTCGGAGGTTTTAGGGATTTTGCAAATTAAATTTGAAAATTTTCTGATGAAAAAAGTATTTTTAATCTTAACATGAAAATCACTTTGTACTGGACAAAGTTTTAGTAAAAGTACTTAGTTAAAAATTCTGATTTATTGTCTACAAAAGACTTTTAATGTTTACTGAAAGCTTGCCAAATTTGTGAAGATAAATTAAATATTTTCAGAGTCAAATTCTGTATACTGTGTAAGAGCCTGTTGTGATAGGGTTAATAAAACATCCCTATATCTTTTTTATTCAAATTATAAGCTGTGAAATGTCAAACTATTACATGCTGATATAATGTGAGGACATTTTCACTTTTTAAATCTCGTGTATCAAATTGCTGTAAATAGAATGCACATTATGACAGTAATTACTTTAATAAAAGAAAGAAATAACTATATAAGGAGATAATAGAGATCTGTAGAAAATAGTTTGTGAGAAATAAAATATTCCCGTACTTCAGTTGAAGCACTTGTGTTTTTGAAGCTTTGAGATTTTGTAAGTTTTTAACCTAAGATTGCAGTCAATCCTATAGAAGTGGATATGTGTCAAAGTGCATGAGTTACAGCCTTTTCCAGAGTTTCATTCAAAGTTTAATTAAACATCTTTATTTTCAAAACATTGTATATATTTCAAATTTTAATTTTATAAGTATTAATTTCTTGATATTTAAATATATTCTCAGTCTTCCCTTACTTGTATCATGTGACATTTCTTTACTTTGAATTGTTTATTTTAAATTTTATTTCTACCACTATATTAACTGTTCTTAGTTTGACATAAATTATATACTAAGCCATAATGTAATGCCTCTAATCTTCTTGCTTTATTGAGATATAAACAAGGAAGTGAAACATGCATGCTATGTCCTCCAATCACACCATGTTTTTAACTAATGTCAATAATTATTTCTGACATTTGTTGTTAGAGTACTTATAACTAATAGAAAGAAAAGGCTACTTTACCAAATTTGTTACAAATCTGTCTTGTTCAGGTGACATATTTAGAAATGTTCAGCCTCAGTTTTACTGTTTTGTATTGTGAAATTTGCCTTGACTAGCTTATGGAATCTTTTTAACCCATTTATAGCTTAGTTAGAAAGCCAGCGAAATGCTTGTAGTTTTAGCAGCTCAGTAGTTCATCTGAAGGTTTATAATGCTAAAAACAAGCTTTCAATGTCTGTGGTGGTACAGAACAGATATTCTGTTGTATAGTTTGTGCTTACCAATAAACAAACAAGCAAAAAAATAAGTTTCTTATTTTTTATATGTATTTTATTTATTGTAATGAAATTAAAATGTAAGACTTAGAAACTTATTAGCTTAGATAAGAAAACTTAAATTTGAAAAAAACATTTACAAAATTACTAATGATAGCACAAACACATCAAGAGACACATTCATGTAAATCAACTATGTATGCTGGTAATTCAAACCTTTGTTTGAACAAAGCTTTCCTGCTGTGATAAATGGGATTTTAGTATAATATATCTGAGAGGACCTAAGTGCAGGTGTAATGCAATAAAACTAAATTCAACTATATTTGAAATCTATAAGGTTTGACTGTAATAATAAATAGTGTGTAACTGTCTTATACAAGATACAGTTGTTCTAGAAACAAAAAAAAAGGTAATTTAGATTCATTTTGTATTTTTTAACATTTTACCATATATTACTATTTTAATACAGTTAATGTTAGAGTGGAGAAAATAACAGATAAAACATAAAGTTTTACTGAAAAAATTAATATTCTTTAAGGAGGTTCTGTAAGTTATGCAAATGAAATATGAAATTTGTAAAATGAGGAGAAGTATTTTTATTCTTAACATGAATATCACCTTGTACTCAGACTATTCGGAAATGGTACTACCTCTTCTCTCACAAAGCTATCTCAATCCTGGTCTGCCCTCTGAGCATTGCTAAAAACATTTGCTATAGTGCACTAATCTTTATACCCTATCAATTTGCATCATTTCTGAATGTGCTGATCATGTGACTACTCTCCACCAATTGTACTGTGCCATCTATATTGGCACAGCTAGCTCCCTCTACTATTCTAGAACAATTCTCACTTTTTCAACTGGCATTCTAGTGTGTATACATATATTTTAACTTGCTCTCCATGTGACTACAAAATTTTGATTGTGCTTGATCACAAATATATATCAATTTCAACTTCCTGTATTTGATTTCCATTGTTTCTACTCATTTGTTTTAGAAATATTTCTTTTTTCCAAATTCTAATTTCTTTGTATGAATTTGAAATTTAATATGGTGGATGATAACATTCCTGTGACAGTCGAGAATGGTTCTGATATGAGTCCCAGGGTCTACAATGTCTGCTGGAGAAGTACAGGCTTTAGTTCACAGGGAATTTGTGTTTTATGTTCAGCTGACAATTTCTTCCTTTTACGTTACAAATTTTTGTGAGGAAGGATATAACTACTGAGTGGAAATTTCTTTCTACAGCACCTTCCACCTGTTACCATGCCTCCATATAATCTCCTGGGTTAGGTATTGTTCTTTTTCCCAGGAGGTCTGTGGTAAGTTTTTTAGCATATATTCCTCACTCCCAGTAGGTATACCCATGTTTAGCGAGTTTATCTGAGCTTGTGTGGATTGATCTAACTTCCTCACACAATGATATAGGTCTTTCATGTTTTCTCTGCTCAGTAATTGGTAAGTTAGACTTTTAAAATTCTTTTCCCATGGATGTTACTTTAGTTTGAATTTGCGTTTAGAGTCGATTATTACATTGTTTTTTGTTTTAATTTTTGGAATACATACGGGTTTTGCACAATAGTTACTGTTTGGGTAATTGTCACTTCGGCCAATTTTGTGGGTGTTTTGGTTTGTTATTTATACTTCCTTTCACTGTTTGTTAGTTAGTTTGTAAGTTCCTTTTTCTTTACAACTAGCCACATCTAATTGGGGATTAGATTTAAATCAAATTTTATTATTGTTAACTGGATGTTTTTTTTTTTTGATTTTCTTAGGTAGGTTTTACTTTTGTGTCTTTTGTCTTATTGGTTCTTTGAGTGTACTTATAAGTTCAATATTTACTTGTCTTTTATCTCCTAAGTTTCTTTAGTGGTTTTGTAATTTTTTTGGGTTTCTTATTGTTTTATGTTTTAGGTCAAATTTCATAGTTTTGAAAGTTTGTTATTTTTATGTACTTTGTGGAGTACAAATTTTTTGGTTTTGTTAGTTTTGTAGTAATGAGTACTTTCTCTTAAGTATGTTTAGTTTATGTGTCTTTTTTGCTACTCTACAAGACAGTTCCATGGGTTCTACAGGTTCTGTCTGAAGGTTTCTGCCTTCAGTTCTGTTCTCCCCCTATCCACTTCCCAGATCTCCTTCCCTCCTCCTTGGGATCATACCACTTCCAGTCATCTTGTCTAGTCTGTTCAAGACCTACTACACAAAGGGGTTGTCAAATGGGTGGTACCCACTCAACTGCGGTTTCACTCCCGTATAATTGTTGACCCTCGAAGTCTTGGAGATTTGTCATAGACCTTTCCCTGTTGAACTGCTATTTGAGCCACCTTACTTCTCCATGGAGTCCTACCTCTCACTTTCCCTGGGATTCTGGAAGACCAAATCTGATTCAGTGCTGTACGTCTCTTTATTGACTTCAGTGGTGCCTTTCAATTAAGTTCCGCCTCAATTGTGTTACTTTTTGATTGCTGGGTGAAGAGCATACCTGTTTCAGAAGTAGTGCTGTACCCCAATGGTGTGCTTTTTTTTTCATATTCAAGCACACCCATTTTTTCAGTGTGGTCTCTTTCTGCTTGATTTGATATTGTTGTGCCTTCCCTGGCCCCTCCACCTTGGAAATGTGGGATTCTAGCTTTGGGTGAAAAGAGGTAGTACTGTTTAAGAAGTTAACATTTTCTTACACTGAAAGTGTATTTCCGATAGGTACTTACCTTCTTCCCCACTGAGATGCCAGTGTTTATGGTTTGTGCCTGCCAATTCTTGAAAGTGAGGATTGTTCTAGAACAGTAGAGGGAGCTAGCTGCACCAGTATAGATGGCGCAGTACGTTTGTTGGAGAATAGTCACATAATCGGCACATGTTCTGAAATGGTGCAAAACTAGTGGTATATAAAGACTGGTGTGCTGTAGTGAAATGTTTTTAGCAGTGCTTAGTGAGCAGACCTGGATTAAGATAACTTTGGGTGAGACAAGGTAAGTGCCTATCGGAAATACATTTTCAGAGTAAGAAAATGTTAACATCTGTAATTAGAGTCTTAATTAGACTGACTCAGTAAATTCACATACAAATATTTAGTAAAAATACTTTATTAAAAATTCTGATTTTTTTTGTGTACAACATACCTGTAGCATTTACTTAAAACTTAAATTTCATGAAGATACATATAGCTCATAATTAAAATATACATTAATTCTTCAATAAGGGGTAAGTCCAAAGGATTGTATGATCATTCTGATCCCAGTTGACTCCTTTATCATATTAAAGCAGTTCGGTGTTACCTCACTCATACTTTTCTCCTTTTGAAGCAGTCAGTACCTTCTTTTCTTACTGTGGGATTTCTTTTCTTCTCATGACTTTGCATAAAAATTGAAAACTTCTAAATGTCACTGTAGGAAACATAAAGTAAGGTAACTATTGAACACTTTTAACCTTGATTTTATATTTGTTTTTACTGTTTACTATGACATTACTCAATACACTTGTAACAGTTGACCTGAAAACATGCTTATTAACAACAGTACATTCACAGGTCTAATGACATCATGCACTTTATACTTGGTTGAAACAAATTTTGAAATTAAATATATATATAATTTAATCTAATATAAATAGATAGTACTTGTATTATTATATATTCGTTATAAATCTTACCTTTCTACCCCTTTTATATAGAATTAAACATGTAAAACTGTTTCAAAAAGACCACTTCTTCTCTAATTTAAACACTTATACTTATTCACTACTAAAAATCTATTTCATAAAACTATAAAAACTTGAATCACTTAAATTATTGTTGGGAGATGAGCCAAATAAGGAATATTCTGTACCTGTCATTGAGAAAAGTTTTCTTTATTTGTGAAATACTTTCTAGGAAATTGTATACTGAGAAACATTTTCTTAATTTAATAAGATATTTAGTAAAAATATTTACTGATTTCAAGAAACTTGGGATAAAGGTAAGGAATAATTAGTTACTTTCTTGGATTAAGGAACAGCAATTAAGAATATATTTCTAGAAGCAGAAAATTTTTAGCTGTTTTTCCTGCTAAATGAATGTTTACAATGTTCATAGAATAGTTATCAATCTTTATATTTTAATTGCTTCCATTCCTTTCTTTCTGCTCAATTTATGTTATTCTTACTCTTCTGTGTAACCTTTTCATCTTTTTTATTGTAATTGGTCTCTACTCTCTTGTTTTAGGTGCTCAACTCACAACCTGTGGGTTTGAATCCCTGTCCCACCAAACATGCTCACCATTTCAACCATGGGTGCATTATAATGTGAGGGTCAATCCCGTTATTCATTGGTAAAAGAGTAGGCAATGGGTAGTGATGACTAGCTGCCTTCCCTCTAGTCTTTCACTGCTAAGTTAAGGATGGCTATCACAGATAGCTCTCATTTAGCTTTGCGCAAAATTCCAAACAAATCATTAAAAAACCTTTGTTTTGGCTGATATCTACATTTTTCATTGCTCTTCATTCCATTCTTTCTACTTGGTTTAATTTTCATTGCCCTTCACTCTTCTAATTTTGCTTATCTTTAAATTTTTTCTTACTCTCCACCTCTTTCTTTCAGCTCATTCTTGTACTTTTATTGCTCTTCTCTCCTTTCTTTTTTGCTGATACTTATATTTTGTTTGTTCTCCTCTACTTTTCTTTGCTCAATTTTGTATTTTTCATTCCTCTTCACTGCTTTCTTTTCTTTCATTTTTGTGTTTTCTTTGTTCTCACCTTTACATTTTCATTGTTACAACTTCTTTCTCCATGCTCATCTTGAAATTTGTATTGCTGTCCACTCTTTTGTTTATATTCACCTTATGCTTTCATTGCTCTTCATTTCTTTATTTCTGCTTATTGTTATATTTTTTGTTGCTCTCCACACCTTTCTTTCTGCTCATTTTTATATTTTCATTACTCTCCATTCTTTCTTTTGCCCAACCTTGCGTTTTCATTGCTTTCCACTCCTTTGTTTTTTCTCAATTTATGTTTTCATTCATCTACACTTCTTTCTCTCTGATTTTCTTTATAATTCATTGGTTCCCACTTCTTTTAGAATTCATCAGCTTACACCTTAGAAGTTCTGTATTGTATTACTATAGTTGCTGTGACTTAGTATTTTTCACAGCACATCTATAACACATTCTTTTGTTTTATTGTTACTAGTGTAACTTAGTGCGTTTTTTTATAGTATCTCATGTACCTAATGTGTATTGTTCTACTGTGTGACTTTAATTCTGATATATAATTTTGTAGTGCATGCTACACCAAAACTTGCTGTAGACTCGGATTCTGATACTTCTATGGAACTTTGTCAAAGTTTGAAGAAGCAAGCAGATGTTTCTAGTGAGTATTATAGCTTCTCCACTCTGAAGGTTGTGTTCAGTATAAAGGTTTTATTCTCTTTTTGCTCTATCTTATTTGTCTCTGTGCTGAATAACTGAGTATATCTGTACAGCACTCTTAAATACCATGTGTTAGGGACTGGGAAATTTAGCCAAATTTTTTTAAAGCAACAGCAATCCAATACTGAAGCTTTAGTTAGCCAGATTTGGGTAAAGCAGAAGCCCTCTAATACTGGTAGATTTAGGCTAGTGATCCAGGTTTGGGTAAAGAAGAAGCATTTTAATTAATGGTATAGATAGCTTTTTTTTTGTGTGTGTGTGTGAAAGGTTAGTTTAGAGTGAGGTCCCCTATCCCAGTGTATTATGTGCTTGTTTATGGAGCAAATCCAGGCAGAGGCAAAAAAGGGAGTCATTGTATAATAACAAATAGTTATATTTCACAACCATACAGTACATAATCATTAGTCATTTAGTTTCTTAGTAGAATTCTGGATTTAGTGTCCAGGAAAATTTATAGTTTGGTGACTACACTTTCTTTTCAAATTTTGGCTCAATGCCATATTTTGCACAGATTTACTTGGCATTTTTCAGCAGAGAATAGAAGTAGTCATTATCAGATATTATTTCTTGCATTGATTAGCGTGTACTGACTTGAAGCCATATTTTTGTTGATTCAAATACACGAGATTGGTGAAGTGTTCTTTCTTCATAGTTGATCACAGTTATGTTTTTTCTTTCTCTTTGAACAACTAAATGCATGTTCATTGTGCTCAGATGTAACAGGCAGAGTTAACGTAATTTTGAGAAGAACAGAAGTATTTTCCATCACAATGTTATGCTGTGTGAGGAAAATAAGCACATCTTCATGATCTCGTGAGAACCAGCCACCATCTTCAAATTTCCAATTGTTTGGAAGCAAACAAATTACAAAACTCTGTTGTGGCTTGTTCAAGACTATCAACATCATACAAGTAAAAATTTAAAAAGTTCATTATCTTTGTATTGCCACTATGAGATGTTATTCAGCAGATGATCAATGTATGATGTTTCTTGGGACAAAGCACTCAAAGGTTGTTAATATTTCCTTTGCTTCCTTGTTGAATCTACTTTTCAACTTGCATATCAACACATCAGGAACTACATTGTACACTTAAACTTTGTTTCATTTCCATATGAAGTATAGGCTCCTCAGTTATCTGGACAGAGTATTTTTGCTGCTTTGATGATGGTCAGGATATGAAACCAAAGGTAAAATATCTCAGAATTTGAAGGACTATGTAACAGACTGTACCCATCTGTCAGATCATGAGAAGAGAGCTCATTTTTTCCATTCAGAATTTCATTGGTGGTGATATGACTTTCATAATGATCCAAATCTGCTTGACAACACTGCTATTTGCTGCCCATTGCATATCTCACAGGAATTTAGGTATTTCAGCATGTAGCTGTGCAGCTACTCACCTCATACTGGTGACAAAGCTGGTGTACATACTTCCCTGAAGACTACAAAAGGACTTAGCTTCCAGAGAGGACATTGCCATTTGAATCAAAACCAGATTGAGTTGTTCTGCAGTACAATGAATGTAAAATGCTGTAGGTGTGAGTTGTTTTTGATTTTGTTTGCAAGGGATTAAAAGATGTTCTACCTGAAAGTTGAAAAGGAATTTTATGATAATAAATGGGTAAAGATACTTGAATACTAACCTGTTTGGAAACTACTGCTTTACTCAGGGTATTTTTAAGAAGGAAATGTGTTTTGTGTCAAGCATGTTGTGGATCACGTAGATCATGTTGAAACTAGAACTTGTAGAGTGTTGTTTTAAAGTGGAAGCCATATGGCTTCAATAAAGTTTTAATTGTGTAAATAGTAAACATTGTTTTTAATTATTTATTATAATTTTAATGGTAGTTTTGCTAAACAAGCTTTTACAACTGATTTCTATTTTTTGGTTTATTATTCCTTCCCTTTATAATTCCTGTTGAAAATTTTTTAATGATATCTACAAAAAGTCATCATATAAAATTAATATACTATTTTACTTTGGTGGTATAAAATATATATATTCATTCTTAAAGTAACAATAGTTTATTCTGTTTTAATGTCAAATAATTCAATATCACTGTTGAAGTAACAATGTTTTGTTCTGCTTTGATACTCTATTGCACTTTTGAAGTATTAAACAAATATTTAAAAAAACTTGCTAAAAATTTCTTGTCTAACAATAGAGGAAAAGTCAGTAAAGTCCATGGAAAGAAAGAAGAAGAAGCCAGTTCATAAATCACATTTTCCTGTATCAGCTGCTTTGGAGAACAGAGGAAAACACTTCAGCTGTGCCGACTGCCTCCACCTGGTGGATCATTTATATCCAGCAAAAGAAACTTGTTTAAGTAGTTCTTTATCATCTGATGTAGAACCTTCAAAACCTCAAGAACAAGACAAGTTTACTCATTTAGGGTTTTTTACAGACAGGCATGCAATGCTTGACCTGTTAATCACTGAAGGTATATATATATATATACATATACATACATATAATTTTTTAAAGTCAACCTGTTTAATGTAAGAAGACAGTAGGAAAACAACATTGACATACTGCTTGTATGGAGGTTATTTTACTTAAGAAATTAGTTTATTTTGTTATACCAGGTAATTTGGAAGTTCAATAATGGGCAAATATTTCAGAACTTGGGTGGTATAGGGAAAAATAATTATCAATGGTATGGAATGAGATGTTGTGGGTCCTACCATGTGACAATAACATTGTGGTCAGTTAAGGTGAATTTCAAGATTGTGTTCTTGGAAACTTTTATTAATATGCATCATATACCAAATATGTAATGTGCAAAAGTGTAGACAGTACCAAATGAACTAGTTTAAACCAGATATAACTTAAAATCATTACACAACAATAGTTATAGGCATAAATACACCCCTTCCATATGTGAAATTGTGCTGAAGAAGATTGAAATAGAACTATAGCAAAGGAGCCATGCATCCTTACCTTAGAAAGGACACTGAAGTGTTGGAAAGGGTTCAGAGGAGAGCTACTAAGATGACACCTGGAATGGAAAGATTGTTGTATGAAGATAGGTTAAAATCCATTTGTTAAAGGAATTGATAGTGTTTATGCATCACCTTTTTATTTTTATTTAAAGGTAAAAGTGGTAAGACTAGGGGACACAAATTTTGGTAGGGTAGAAATCATCTTTAAATAAGTAAGCTTTATTTTTCTAACAGGGTGGTTGGTCTTTGGAATATGTTGCTTTCAGATGTAGTAGATAGATGCAATTAATTTAAAGAAGTTTAAGGAAAAACTTCATAAATATTTGAATGATAAGGGCTGGCTTTGAGGTTTTTAGTGTTTAATTTAACTTAGAGGTTAGGACGGCCAAATGTTTCTTTGTTGTCCTTTAATGTTAAATCATATTACACAACCTTAGGTTTAAGGTGTAAAATCAAATTTTCATAAGCAGGCTATTGCATTTTTGGATAATTTAAAAGGTTAAAAAATATCAAAATGAAAGCCTTCCTTGTAAGGTAGTACAACCATTCTACTGCAGCTGCTCCCATATAATGGTACAACGTTCAGTTGAAAAACGTTTTAACATGATCATAGTGTATGGAGTTTCACTAGAACCCCCCAGGCTGCTTCCAAGTAGTATACTGAATGGTTCCCAGATTAACATCATCCTCCACATCCAATGATAGGAAATGTGTGTCGATGACTGTGTGCTACAGGCTTGTATACAGACCAACAACAGCAATCAATTATGATAACAAAGCCATCATACTGGCATTTGTTACATTTTGTTAGCACATTGAAGACAGCTATTGATTGTTTTGTATCATTTGTTTATACTGTTAGGATGTTTACCTCCTTTGTATTTATGCCTATAACTATTTTTGTTGTTGTGGTATTTCAATTTTGTTTGGCACAGTTCCATAGAAGTGGTGAATTTATGTCTATATCTGTTGTTTTTGTGGAGTAATTGTAGGTTCCTTATTGTCTACACCTTTGCCATTAACATTAAGGGTGTAGGATGCATAAATAAGTTTTTAAGGACGTGACCTTGAAAATTGTCTTCAATGCCCTCAGGATAGACCCGCTATACCTCTTTTCATACTACTAACAATAATTTTCCTATATCTTCTGTGTCAGAATTATTTGCCTGTCAATGAACTTCTGAATTACTTTGTATGTAAATATACTAAGATACAAGATTTTTGTTCATTTTCATTCTCTGAGTTTAAGCTTGTTTCTTAAGACACATAAATTATCTTCATAAGTAACCTCTCTGTTTGCTTGCTGCTTTGTAGGTGTGAAACATAGAGAAAATGGAAATCTTGATCTGGCTTTACAACAGGAATTGTGGATAGGAAATGTTGGTCCTGCTTTAAGAGAAGCTGCAGAGAAAAGACAGCTGAGTGATTGGCTTGTAGCTTTAGCACCATTAGGTGAGTGACAAATAAAATATGTTTATTTTTCTAAGGGTTTTATTTGCTCTTAATCATTGTGGAACATTAATGTATTCTTTTTTTTTCTCAGTTTGATAAGGTTATTTTTATATTTATTATTATTAATATATTTTTAAGATTTTCAAGGCTGCTGCTGATGTGCTTTTAAGAAAAAATTGTTTGGCTTTTATTTTCTATAAAATGAATTTTTCACCTCTTGAAGTCACTTAGAAGTGAAAAAGATGTTCACTTTTGTGCCACATTTTATACAACTATGAATCCTAGTGTGTGATATCCTACAACTAGCTGTGATGTATTAGATATTCAAATAATCATAACTGTATGTTTATATTCTTGATAATAGAGTTAGTTAATTTCACAGTGTCAGTTTTCAAATGTATTTAGTAATTTGACAGAAAAACATCTTTCTTTGTAATAGTGATAAACATTAAAAAAATGTTTAAAAACAATTTAAGGCAAAAATCTTTCCCTCTTAGTAGGAGAATTATTCTGATCCAAATTTTCTAATGTTCTATCAGTAATATGCTGACTTATAGCTAGAATCATACAAGACCTCATGTTCTTTATATATATATATATGCCATGTTCTTATATGCCTTTGTCACTCTCAGGTACACTGATCTTTGATACATAAAGTGTAGTAATGTTTCAAACATAAGATTTGTTAGAAAATGTGTTATAGAGTTCATCTGTATTCTGACGTGACTGAATTAACGAAAGAAACTGGATATGGTAAAGATATCATTTTGGCAACTTTAGAACACCCTTTGACAGGGAACTTAGCCACATATTATGATTTCTCTTGTCATCTCTTTAAGAGGTTGCATCCAACATAGTGGTCAGTATAGACTTGGCAGAAAAGCGAGAAGATTTAAGAATTTTGACTTGTGTGGCTAAATACAGGATTTGAAATATTTGGTGAATTTTGTTTCTCATGGGTCATAAGTTCAGTTAGTAGTAAAGGGTTGGAAGTAGTAACTGAACTAGATAGTTACAAACAAAACCTATTCTGTGAGAAGATTTTAGGTATCAGGAGTTAAAACAATATTTTCAGTCAAGTGTTATTTTTACAAACATACTCATGAATTATTGCCAGAGAAAATATCACTAAACACCTATGAACAACATATATCACTTTCTGCTGGGCCATTGTCCTGTCATGACAACTTCACAAGTTATAAACAAGTTTTCTACAAATGTCTAGTTGTGAAAACAGAGTCCAGCTGTAGTATGGTAAGGAGAGGGGTAGAAATTGTTTGTGTGGTGTCCCTACACAAATAACTGAAATCAGGTGGGCATTTTTTCAGACACCAGCCATCATCTTCTGAGTATGAGAATCTATTAGATGAGCATTATACCTCCATAAAATGTAGTATTTGATACAAGCTTACAACACCTTGAAGGAGATAAAAGCAATACCTCAAACGTAATATCACAGACTAAATTTCAAATATCAATTTGCAAAGAAAGTAAATGTTAAACAAATGTACAAAACTGTAAGCTTATGAAATATTACAGCTCAAACAGTTGAGTTTAATACAACTAGAGCTTGGCAATTAATTAGAGTAACCAATAAAATCAGCTAGTTATGAGCTTTTATTACATCAGTTAATGTCACAAAAATAATCAATTTAAATTAGTGTTTATGAGTATTACTGTTTTCAATTAATTCAACTGTCCAAGTTATAAAAAATACAGCTATTATAATTTTTCATTTTTATTTTTGATTAATTCAGGGTTGCTTTAGCTTAATCAATTAGCTTCAAGACTCATGAAAATAATTAACTAATCAAAATTATTATTCCCAATTTTCACTAATTTTGATTATTCCAAGTATTCAAAAATAATTGATTAGTTTAATATAATTCATTATTGAGCCCAGTGATTATTCAGTAATGATATTCCACTAATCTCCAAATTTTTACTACATCATACCAATCAAAATATTTGGTGCACAATGCTTTTTTGTGTGCAGTATATAAGTTTGACTTTCTTAAGAATATTTCTTTTCTGCCAAATTGAACATATTCTTCACTAGCTTTAATGAAAACATCATGTAAAACTGTGTCTTCCCTTAATGTAATGTAAGGTTATTTTTACTTTTCCATGCTGTATGATACAGTATGCAGTCAGACTAAGAAAGTTTAGTACAATAATTAAGAGGAAAGCTTATTTACTGTCCTAAACACCAGAAGTTGAACTATCACCATATTGTTCCATCATCTATAGGTCAATCAAACTAGTATGGTTGACATATAGGGAAAACAAACAGAAAATCTAATGAAACAAGGACTTTTCCTATATGATTTTTCACCATATTTATGGGTCAACATACATACAGGGAAATTAAACATGGAAGATCTAATGAAACAAGGACTTTTCTGATACTATGTAACAAAATCTGATTCCTCTCTGTTACTTATTAAGGGCATAGTCTTTTCAGTGTGCATCTGGAAGTTGGGTACAGATCCCTTATATAGGAAAGTATGATCTTGTGTGTAAACAATACTCTACCCTCTATATATCGGCTGGGTCAAAGTAACCAATCTTGTAACCAAAAGGTAATCATGAAAGTATACATATTATAACTGAATTTACTAAGTGTATTTCCATGAAATATTGCTTGGATTTAGTAAACTTTATAAGTCTGTTGTACACAAAAATCATATTTTTTTATTAAATATTTTTACAAAACATTTGTTGTAGATTTATGAAGCCTTTACTAAGTCAGTCCCCAATACAAGGTGATTTTCTTGTTTTGAATAAAAATATATTTTTCATCTTAAGGATTTCATTTGCATAACCTCTAGATCATCTTGAATGAATATCAATTTTTTTTTCAGTAAAACTATATTTTATCTGTTATGTTATTTTTGTTACCCTAACACTAGCACCAGTTAATTTCAATGACCTTATAATTACCACATAACAAAAAAGTGAAATAAATTACACTTTTTAATTCTTTCTAGAATGACTGCATTATGTCACAGACAACTACAATATTTATTCTTCCAGCCAAAGCTAATATATTTCAAATATCATGTTCATGTCGATTTTTGCTTTACTTTCACTTAGAGTATGGCAAAGTATCTAGATACCAGCATGATCTGCCAAATTTCTGCATGCCTTGCTCAAGAAATGTGCTCGTGCTATTGAGTATTTTATTATATGTAATGTTTTTCCTAACATAAGTTTTCCTGTCTAAAGTAATAAGTTTCTAATTTTTACATTTTAGTTACTTATATAACAATGAATAAAAAAAAATATACATGAAACACAAGGAATTTAGTACTTACTTGTGAGTCTTGTTCTTTTTTGCATTCAGTCTTGATAAAAGTTAACCCTAATTTTTGGTAGGGTTATTGTTAGTATTTTACTGAATTTTTATTTATTTTAAATAATCGATTTAATGTAACTATAAAAAACAAAAAAAGGTTGTAGCATGTGCACTTTGACCTGCCCTTATATATATAGGGTTAATTTTGCAATTGCACACATACAAATATGTTCATATGGTTTCTTATGTAAACATTTGTCAATATTCACCACAAGATTACACCTTGATGGTGAGAAAAAAGGATCAGAAAGTCTTATCAGCTTAAAGATGCATTAGTTACTCCAGCTCTTAATGTTTGAGCATTACATTACCTGTCCTAGCTGTGCCCGTCCAGTAAGTAATACATCTACACCACAGAAATGCCACTACTGCTTATTAAATAAATCACAGCTAGACATCACTGTGACATCCAACACTGCTAGTAAGGTAAGGTTCACAACACTCTTGATAATATGTACTATAATCAAGTGACTATGTAGAATGTCATGTAAGCGTTCTACTGATAATCCTTATTTGACCATCCTGATTGTTGGCTAAGCAGCCAATCCCTGCTATAATAATCAGGAATTAGACACCTGTATCTTGGCTGACTAGCAAGGAGTTCAAGCCATTCTTTCACTGGCTTTTCCATACCTGACTCCTCTTAGACAGACAGATACGTATTATCTTCATTTTCCTTGTAATTAACTGTTGAGATTGAGAAACACAGTGGTTGTACTCTGATTTATTAACCGTCTCAGCCTCAAATTTGTGGCCAAATTAGCAGATAAGTTTTTAAGTGACATACACCTTTAGCTTGTCATTAAGGTTTCCTCACACACCACATAACCGCTGCAGCTTGTAGTTTGGTGGATTGAGCTATCACAGGACAGGAACCAGGTCAGCCAGAAGTGGGTTAACTTTGTAGGATAGGCATGTGTCAAAGCTATACCTAGTTTCCTTTACTATTTTGTTTCTTTAGTATTTTGATGTAACATCTCTTCCATCATATAATAGACTTATCTATACATTGCTCAGAACACACATTACCAACAAACTGAACTAATATATCAACCCATGAGTTAGTTTTGGCTTACTTGGTGAAGTCTTTTATGACAACTAACAAATACTGATTCTCTCTATAAATCTCTGGGAGAGGACCAACTATTTCCAGGGCTATTTTCTTCAAAGTAACTACTGTTTCCTGCTGAAGTTTTTCCTGGTAGTATCCAATCCTTACATTATGCAAAATCTCAGATATATCCGGCTAAGAATTTTGGAACCACTAGTTTTTTCACAGATCAAGAACCACAGCTCTGTGGCTTATAGCAGTAGTGTAGCACATCATTCTGTTCTCTTATTGTTCATATAAGTGCCAAAATGTATGTGCATCTACCTTGCTGCATTGCATGTAGTACCCAAACTAAATCCAGCTCTTTTAAATTATTTCCTTAACTCCTCAAGCCTGACTTGTGAAATTTATCTACTAGTAGACTCATCACTAACTTTATAGTTGGAAGTTGCTACTGCTATAATGGATATCACTGTGGCATTTTAAAGACATTTTTAGTTTGAAAGGGAAAATTGGGCAAGGCATTTGAAAAATTAATGTTGTTATGTGTATTTGGGCACGTGAGAGTCCCTCAGTGGCAATATATTAATATATCTGTTTTTGCATTAAAATTAATAACTTCTAAATGTCACCATTTAATACACACTTCAAACATAAAGTGTGGTAACCATTAAATACTTTTTAACATTTTTTTTTTTCTTGCTATATTTTCAATTTATAGTGAAATAAAAACCACTTTATGAATATATATATATATATATACTGTGCTGTTTTGTATCCAAATGCTTAATCAAGTCCAGACTTGGCATCAGTCACTCTACTGCCTGTCCTACTCCATGCCATCACTGGTACAGTCTCACCTCCACTAATGGCCAGTTTTAATCCCCCAAATCATTTTTTGTACATATTTTGCTTCTCATGACCACTCAGCCCTTTTACCCAGCCAATGACCACTAAATTTGCCATAATTGAGTCCAAACTTTTCTGTGAAATGGCCACATAATTGTGTATTTTCATAAAGAATGTGTTCATAGTCAAATAAGAAGTATATAAAGGGAATATCCATAAGTCAAGTTTGCACAAACCACAAGTTTCAAGACTGAGTATGTAAGTTAAAGTTGTGGCAATTGGGCAAGAATATCTGTATTTGACAAGATTCCTATCCCTGAAATATACACAGCAAGGGGAATATACATTTTTGGTGCATGATAGAATTCCAAATTAAAGAAACTGCAAACCAAGCAAAAATCACTGACTTTTTCAAGTTAAACAATTAATGAAAATGTATGCAATACAGCAATACAATGTAATGCATCATTAAAAGTGATAGAAATGTAAAAACAGAATATAACATTTGTTGTATTTGCTTCGAGAAAAGAATAATAATACTTGTTTGAAAAATTTTGTTTGCAGTGTTTACTTCTCCTTGTCTTTGAAATATCTTTCGGATGCATTCTTTTATTTCTCTTTCTTAGGTTAACAGTAACTTCTATGTGTAAACAGGAATCATTATTCAGCAGCTACTTCTGTTTAACAGTCAAAATGATCCATTCCTTTGCTGGTGATTAAAAATTTTGTACTGATCTGGCTTTTTTTTATTCCAGAGACATGAACATACCCTACAACATGTGGTTCCTGTTCTCAGTTCACAGAATATGTTGTTGAAGCAGATGCAATATCATTCTGTTCTGGGTGATTCTGAGCATATAATTGAATCATAATGGTTTTATCTCAGGAAGGTTCATGACTGCTCTTTTGGGCACTTATACTTTCTGCTGTTTGTAAAACAGTTCCAATATCTTCTTTGCATATAAAGATGTTCCCACTTTGTCTTGGGTATTCCAGAATGTATATCATCATAATGACCCTAAGTCATTCATGTTTCCTGCCTGAAGTTCATGAACATAACTAAACCTGTAGTTTGGGAACTTCCAGTTTAAAGTTCTCCTTCATGAACATGATTTAGACTCTGAACACAGTCCTGTGAACAGAGTAAGACCTAAGTCCAAAAGGGAACTTCTCCTAGACCATACCATGATTTGGGATTGCAGTTTTCCTGTAGTGACCAACTCCTCCTCTTTCCCATAAGTCTTTTATGTGTAAAATGGCAGTTCTAAGTTTTATCAAAGCTGAAACATGCATTCTAAGATAGTACTAAGAATCACAGAAGAGAGCACACACGCACACCCATAAAAATACAGATTCTTGGATATCTAATGGGGATAGGCAAGATCTCATAACTTAATTTCTCTTGAGAAAATAAAGGGTAGTAGATGATCTTATTCAAGTTTATATGATTATCAGGGAGGTTTGATAGGATAAAGGCTTCTGATTTTTCTGTTCTGGATTATGAACATGATAGAATGAAAGGACGCATGTTTTTTACTGAACACATAAATGCTGTCATCAGTGATCAGTTGTATTATATGTGGTGATGTTTTAATGCGTGCTACTGGATGCAATCGTCAATTATCGGTGGTATTATATGTGGTAGTCCTTTTACTCAACACTATTGTATGCTGTCATCAGTAATCAGCCTTATATGTGGTGGTGTTCTTATTGAACACTTGGATGCTGACGTAAATGATCAGTTATTGTGTATCTTGTTTCTATTGAATACTGTCGTTGTTTTTTGCTGAAAACTATTGGATGCTTTCATCAGTTATTAGTATTACTATTTGTGGTAGTGTTTTTGCTGAATATTATAGATGTAGTTGCCAGTGACCAGTCATAGTGTGTTGTTTTTGCTGAACACTATTGGATGCTGACATTAGTGATTAGTCATATGTGTGGCAGTGTTTCGACTGAACAGTATTGGTTGCTGTCATCATTTATCACTCATGTATAGTGATGTTTTTGCTGAATACTATTTGATGCTGTCATCAGTGTATAATTGTATTATCATTATTGGATGCTGTCATCAGTAATCAGTTGTATTTTGTGTAATGGTGGTTTAATAAACATTTTTGGATACTATCATCATCTGTCAGTTGTATTATGTGTGGTGGTGTTTACACTGAACAATTGCATGCTGTATCAGTGATAAGTCATACGTGGCAATATTTTTCCTTATAACTGTCGGATACTGTCATCAGTGATTGGTTGTATTTTGTGTGGTGTTTTAATAAACATTTTTGGATACTGTCATCATTGATCAGTCATATTATGTGTGGTGGTGTTTTACTGTCATCAGTGATAAGTCATATTATATGTGGTAATATATTTACTGGTAACTGTTGGATACTGTCACAATGGAGATGAAAAGAAGGGAAACAATAAAGTAGGGATTTCCACGTAGAGATAAATGAAAGTAAACTGATAACTGTTGGATATTGTCATTAATAATCAGTTGTATTTTGTGTGGTGGTGTTTTTACTGAACACTTGAATACTGTTATCAGTGATAAGTTGTAATATATGTGTGGTAATATTTTTACTGATAACTGTTGGATACTATCATCAATTATCAATTGTATTTTGTGTGGTGGTGTTTTTACTGAACACTTGCATGCTGTTTTCAGTAATCAATCTTATTACTTGAGGTGTCGTCATCCCAAATAATCTCTATTTGTGGTTCTGTTGTCGCTGATTGGTCTCTCTGTATGTTATTTTCTAATCACTGAGTGATGCTTGTGCTGTTTAGAATGTATTTCAGATTTACATGTGTTATTATTTACATGATACTCCTGCATAAAAAGTAAGAGAAGACACAAACAAAGGAAACCACATTAATTTCCTTGATTCTTTTCAGTTTTCTAATTGTCAATTGTTTAATTCTCAAATGGTCGTGATGTTCTGTGAACTCAATACACACACACATGTAGTCATGGCCAAACCTTTTGGCCAGCTTTGATGTGGTGAGCACAGTTTTTCATTCAGAGTTTTAGTGGTTGTTTTCCAGTTAACAAGTAGTAGATGGTGCCAGAGTATAGAATAGGAGATATATATATTTATTGTTGCGTATATGAACTTGTGTATCTCCACTGGATGTACAGTTTCATGATGACCTTTTCCACATTTTAGAAAAACATTTTTTGTGTATTTGAAAATATTTTAATAATACAGAAAATTTTCTTCTATATGAAACTTCATTAAACTAATTACATCAATATTTTGTAGGATCTCGGACCTTATGGCTTGAGATGTGTGAAAAGTATGCTCAACAGTTAGCTGAAAATCAAAAGTATCATCGTGCCTCTCTCTATTTGTTGGCTTGTCATAAGGTCTATGAAGCTATTGATGTTTTGAAGGATCATAATTTGTTCAGGTACTTCACTTTCAAAGCAGTTATAAATTTTTAAGTGTGTTTTTTTCTCTACAGTCGTGATATGCAGTTCATACGAGTACATCACAAACGAGGATAAATGTGTATCAAAAAGGACAATTTTTTGCCAAGAATGCGAGTTATTGTTCAACTCACGTTATCAAATTACCTTACCCACTAGCTATTCTGAGCTTCCTGTGTGCATGCCTCCTGAAATATTTGTATTATATTATTATTTATTTTGCCTAATCTAACCTTAACTAACCTAAAGAGATATCTGTTTTTACATTTTAGTTACTCTCATAATAAAAAATAAACAAGAAATAAAGTACTTATCCGAGTATTCTTTTTCTTTGCTGTTGACTATCAATGACACTTAACCCTACTTTTTTTATATTAATGGTAGTAGTGCATTAAATAATTTTTAATTAATTAAATAATGCACCAAAAAACATAGAATAGTAACATGCAAAAAGCAGACAATTTTCTCTAACAATCTCAATTTTTCTGGCTTTCTAACTATGCGACAAGAGCCATTACAAATTCATCCAAGCTAGTCTTGTGGGAACAAAACCTGTACTACAAGTGAAATTGATGATTATTTGTTCAGAACACAACATAATATAATACGTCATTTGATAGATGAAAACCTTGGCTTTCTATTGGTTATAGATAATATAGAATTAGATGTAAGAAAGAACTATTAACAAATCCTGAAAGAGAGGATGTGACAGGTCGGTGTGGGAAGAGGGGTCTGATTTTCTATTTGATAGCTCTGTAACAAAATAAAATTGAAGGTTATAAAAATTATGGTTTGTCTGAACAATGACGATTTTATAGTGAGTAATTTACGTTTAATTTCATAGTTACTGGAGGGGTGGTGGATAAAATAGAGAAGATACCTAGAGAAAATGTGTCACATGTGTCCTACAGGGGATTTTCAGGATTTTTATATTGCTTATAGAATTAAGAACTTAAAACTTGTATACTATTAAAATATGGATTATTAGCTAAAATTTT